GGGCTCGGGGCAGGGTGGGGGGCCGCTCTGCCTCCGCACCCCCCCGTGCTTTCTGTGTGCGTGTGTATATAAAACACACACACACGAGATCTGAGTGATCGCTAGCTCTTTTGCAATGTCTCTGTATATAAACATGTATCATATAAATAGAGGCTGTTCGATTTATAGAAGGGTCTCGGTGTGTATCAAATAGCAAAAAATAGTATGTGATATAGATGGCTACAGAGAGGGAACACAAGGGTCTGTATGTGTATACCCGTGTCTATGTATGTACAGCTTCTGTAAGACATGTAGCTACAGCATACTAGTTATATATGGGTCTATCTCTTTTATATGTCTTTATATACACGTATCTATAACATGACTGGATGGTGAGAGATAGTTACGTAAGTTGCTTGCATGCACTTTCCTATAATAAAAAAAACTAAAGTGTATATACACATACAGAGGATATATTAAAATATGTGGATGGATAATGTTTTAGAAAGGTGTTTATATATACACAGAATAGAGAGTTATGTATTTATATGATGGACTGAGTATATATATACACATATATGAAAATATTTTCATATATATATCTAAACCTATCTACCTAGCTATGTGAGTTACATAGTTACAGAAGGGTGTCTTTCTAGATCACTAGGGTGAGGGTATAAGGGTCTTATATGTATAGATATTTCTCTGTATGTATGTCTATTGATCAAATTTTATATACTTTAGCTGGAGCACAAGACTGTTCTGTTCAGTTGTATAAAGGTCGTGCTGTGAGTTATATCATCAGGTAAGGTGTTTGCTCTGTAAATATATAGACAGACATATATTTACTATACCTAGATGATGTATATGTGAAGGGCTAGCATGTTAATTTCATAAGGGTCTCTCTCCCTCTGAGAGCCTTCTAACATGCTCTCGCTCACCACCTACTTTTTTTGGTGGTATTAGATCTAATTTATACACACACATAATACAGATACCAGTACATAATGACATTACTGTCATGCTATTTATAATAAATAAATGTATGTTTTAATATATGGATGTGTATATGTGTGTGTATACATTCTTTCATGCAGTGATACAATACATACATAGTGTACTATAGCATGTGTAGGTGACCAGTGTCTGTTACGTGTTTAGCTCCCTGTGTACACACTTGTGGGCAGCCTCTGCTGAGCAGCAGCTGGGCTCACCCCAGGACACGGAGACGTGTGTCACTGGGAGAGGGGACCCGGGCTGGGGGGACCAGGCTGAGGGACGATGGAGCCAGGGGGCACCTACCCAGGGGCTGGAGCCCCACCACCAGCGCATGTGTGGAACCCGCAGAGCTGGAGCATCTCCGTGATAACCCCACGGCTGCGCATCACGGCAATCGGACATGATGGACTCCGTGTCTGCAGCGGGGTCCCAGACCCCCCACACCTCGGCCTCCGGAGTCCCCTCACGGCCGAGCAGGCGGTGGGGATTCGCTCACAGCGCGGAGCTCGGGAGGCAGGTTCAGACATTTCTGGGCAGGATGTCAGTGAATCACCGTCTGCAGAACGTAACTCACCGCGCTCATCGGGAGGGGACGATGGTCCTTTGCAGATACGGAAGAACGGTGACAAACACATGGGAAAAATGGCAAGGGTCTGCAGGTTTGTGCCAGCGGGGGAGCAGTGGAGAGGCCGTCCCTCTGCTTTTGGGGACACAAACAGCACCGGCAACTCCCACAGGAACAGCTGCAGTCGCACAATCCGTTGGTATTTATAACTTTTATTTGCAATACTTTAGGTCCAAGTTTCAAACTGCAATATTTTTACACTCAAGACACAGTCATGCACAATCCATATTTCAATTTTTCTATTGCTTCAACCACAATTTAAAATAACTTAATATTGGAAACGAAACCCAAAATCTTAAAAAAAAAAAGATGCTGAGGTCAGTCAGATGGATCCATGCCATCAGCACATTTACAAAGTAAATAACTTAGTTCTCTCTTTAAAAAGATCAGTTACCTCTTAATCCAAAGTTACAGAAGATTTTTCACTACACATTTGTTTTTATCTTTTTCTTTTTTTCTGTTTTTTCTTTTTTAATTTGTCTTTTTTTTTTTTTTAAACAGATAACACGTCCTAAAAAAGGAATGTACAGCAAAATGAGATACATTTCTGATAAACAATGAAAATGTAGGCTCCTCCTCTGTTTACTTTTATCTGGATACCCTGAAGAAAAAAAAAAATTAAAATTGTAGCAGGCACCAGCGTAGGTGTAAACTGGCTGCTTGGGCCTAAGCTGGGCTGAGCACTGGTTACGTCCCCATCCAGCCCAGGGCTGTGGAATCCTTTTGCAGATCTTCCAGCCCCGGTGCCGCAGCCGAGAACATGGGGAGGTCCCGGGGTGGGCAGGGGCCCCGGGCTCTGCCCAAGGAGCTGTGCTCCTCACCGGGGGACACGGCCCCTGCACCCCCCCACGGCAGCTCCCCCACCGCCTGTGGGCTGAGGAGCTGAGGGGCTTCTTCCCCTGTGCTACAGACGGGTTTAGCAGCGTCGCTCAACACGAACACAAACAGCGCGAGAGAGCAATGGCCTTTGTGCACCTTAAGGTCAAGACCCTCAGCAGAGGTGGGTGTAGGAGACCTGCATGGTCACTACATTGACCTGGAGAGCTCTGCATGATGGAGACCAAGAACAATGGGGAGGTCCCTTCCACCCACTCCACCAGGGACACCACTGGTATTACCAACACCTGCTTATGGAGCCACCTTCCTGCTGTCACTGAACCCAACAACCCAGCTCTCACTGACGCAACGGGAGTAGCAGCAGTGCCTGTATCTCATCCCTAAGTCTGTGGCTCGACAATGACACACACCACACACAGTAGAAAAAGGACCTGACTTTCAACCACCTGCCACTATTCCCTCCTGTTTGCAACAGTGTCACACTGGCCTGAGGCATCTGGGAGCCTTCACAGCAAGCACGGACTTCAGATGACAGGTCCTGGGCCCTTGCACAAAGTGGAGGTGGTAGGTCCCTCTCCAAGCTTATGGAGTCAAAAGGCTGCAGTAAACAGAGAGTTCAACAGGCAGAGCAATGAGGATCTCAAGCAGTTAATCTGAGCCCCTTACACTCTTGGTCAGCAGCCACCAAGCATGGGAAGAGCAGAGGGCACAAGGAGGGACAAAAATTAGTCAAGCACAGAGACTGGAAAGAGCAAGACCTGTGAGAAGTAACACGCTGCTTAATTTCTCTCTTTAGGAAAACTTCTGTTTCAAACCCCTGAAAGGAGTGAAGAACAAAGCAGAGGTGACACACAAACAACACACATGTTCCCAGTTCATACACCTCCTCCCTCAGTGTTACAGAAGAAATCTGATGACTGTATGCTTCCCTCTAAGAAGGGAAGTTCAGCACTGGCAGCCCAGCAGTAGTTGCTAAAGCAGCTGAAGCCTTAAGCTGCAAGAGCATCCCTTCTTCTCTTGCCTATAACACCATTTTTAGTTTTGAGATGGCTCTTGTCACCAAAGATACCCTCAACCATTGGTAGGCTCAAGCCAGTGATGGTTTATACACACGATGCACACCTGGGATTACAGCAATCGGCACTAAGCCCCATCCACAGAGGGGTGTATAAGCAAGATTCCACAAGCTTCAGTCAGAAAAAGAAATTACCCTGTCAGCTCAGGGACAGACACAAGCAAAGAGAAGTGTTAAAGATCCCTGAATTGCAAATCACACTCAAAGAAATCTCAGATGGTTTGCGTCGAAACACAAAGTTTGTCCTTTGCCTGCTTCCTGAAAACTGGGGGCTAAAATTAAACATATTTACCTGGCCAGGGGAGAGGAAATAATAAAAAAAAGAAAAGTTAAACACTTACATTTATGGTTCTTCATCAACTTGCCCCATCGTGCATCATTAAGTTGCTGCACAGCTGCACGAGTGAAGGAGTGCAGTGGGAGGGTGTGTGGACCACTAACTTGACAGGGTTTGGCAGGGTGAAGCTGGCAGTAGCGTGCACACCTGCAAATAACAGCTGGCTCCTGTCTTAACGGTAGGGGCTGCAGAGCTCTCTGGCTCTTTGTCACTAGATTCACTCAGGACTGGAGTAAGAAATACAAGTATTTACATGCTCAGGGTGAGGAATATTCAGCAGCCACACCGATGACTATATATTGGAAATAACCACTAAGAGACACTGGGTGTGGTGACAATTCCTCAACGAGAGGACAGGTACTTACTTCCCTTCTCGTGGTGACTGGAATGTGCTTCATTTTCGGTGGCAGGACACGGGGGGAGACTGACCGAGACTCTGCCGAGGTGCAGCCACCATTGGCCTCAAAGAAACTCAGCACAAACAGCTAAAAAAAATACTTGAGTTCATTTGTGTGTAGTGCGAGTGGGCTACCAGCAGCCAAAGGTGGAGAATAAACACACAGGTATTTACACAAGCTGGACACAAGACGTGAGAACGCGACCCCGGCCCCCGTGTGTGACCAAACCCGAGCGCGCTGTGATCCACCCCGTGCGGGCTCCCAGGACTGCATGCAGGAGCTGTATGGAATTGTACATAGCTATGGTTTTTTTTTTTCCCTTTTTTTTTTTTTTTCTTAAATAAATAAACTTTTCTGTGCTTTTCAAACTTCCCCAACTTCACTGCTTTCATGTTTCCGTACCAAAACACGTTAAAACCACAGTGAGTTATTAGGTCATTTTCACACATCTTCATTGCATTGGGAATCACAGTCAAGCTCTGGTCAGGGATTATTTACTGTTTAACGAATTAAAAAATGAAAACAATTAACCAATCCTTTAAAACCTTGGAATGAATGTGTTTGAAACCTATTTACTTATGCACTTCGCAACAGAAACAGCTTATTTCTAATACTTCCCAAAATATATGTAAGTAATTGCTTACTTTTTTTTTTTTTTTCTTAAATAAATAAACTTTTCTGTGCTTTTCAAACTTCCCCAACTTCACTGCTTTCATGTTTCCGTACCAAAACACGTTAAAACCACAGTGAGTTATTAGGTCATTTTCACACATCTTCATTGCATTGGGAATCACAGTCAAGCTCTGGTCAGGGATTATTTACTGTTTAACGAATTAAAAAATGAAAACAATTAACCAATCCTTTAAAACCTTGGAATGAATGTGTTTGAAACCTATTTACTTATGCACTTCGCAACAGAAAGCCTGCTCTGTGCCCAACTCCCAAAATATATGTAAGTAATTGCTTAATCTGAGGATAGCACCCAGAAAACCCAAGATGATTCCAGAGATTTTACAGTATTTGTCTCTTTCCTTTCTGCAAGGTCAACGCCACTCTCAGTCCTAACACACCATGTCAGCCTGTAAATAACGCACAAGAGTTGCCTCTCTCAGGACTGGGGTTTTGGGATGGGTTTTTTTGTGGGGGTTTGGGTTTTTTTGGTTTTTTTTTTAATATATTACTATACCTCTTCTGCATTTCCTATCAGAGCTGGGAGGGTATAACCGCAGGTGCCATCTTTCAGGATCGAGTGACTCAGAATTTAGTGCCAGAGCCTGTCCCAGGCACAGAGCCCAGGGCTGCAGGAGGTGCCTCTCCCTGAATGTCCCCGTCTCAGCCGTGCAGGGACGGTCCGTGTTGGAAACAGCCACTGGCAGTGGTTGTGTCTGTTGAGCCCTGTCTGCCTCCTAGGGATTCTTTTTAGAAGAAAAATCTTGAGATTTGCTGATGCAAAGAAAAATAAATATAGTATTTAAAAAAAAATGAAGAGTAAGGCCTCTTATTACAGCAGTTGTCTTTTAAAAGCCAGTGCCAGCAATATTGTGTGTGCTGGGGCATACACTGATCAAAAAATAATATAATGATGCCACCATTTGATTTTCCTGTTTCTCATTTCTGTTGTCTGCCAGGAAACTGTGGTGGTGGGTTTTTTTAAAAGTAGAGATGCTGAAATACTTAGAGGTAAAGAAAATCAATAGGAAAAACTCCCAATCGAGTAGTATAGTCTGTCAATGTAAGTATTTATATTGTATGTCCAGCAAACGTGCCATTAAAAAATGCTTTCCTTTTAAAGGACGGCTGTCTGTTCCTTTTTGGGTAGGGAAAACTAAAAGCTACGCCGGAAACAGAAACTGTCACTTGTTTCTTCACTTCTTACATGGAACACAAACGTTTCATTCAGCCGAATGCTTCAGAGAGTGAGGGCAGCCCATCTCGAGCCCAAATTACTCTTTCTCAAGAAAGTCTCCCCCAGACAGATAAGCTTGAGCTGACAGAGAAAACTGGGACCACACAAAAGAAACAGAATCTTTTGAATAGAACAGAACAGCATCATCTAAGTTGCAAAAGACCTTTAAGACCGTCGAGCCCAACCATTAACCTAACACTGCCAAAACCACCACTAAACCATGTCCCACAGCACCATGTCTACCCGTCTGAAATACCTGCAGGGATGGCAACTCCACCACTTCCCCAGGCAGCCTGTTCCAATGCTTCACAACCCTTTTGGTGAAGTTAATTTTTCCTAATATCCAATTTAAACCTCCCCTGGCCCAACTTGAGGACATTTCCTCATGGCCTGTTAGTTGGGAGAAGGGAATGACGCCCACCTGGCTTCAATGCCAGCTCCCTTCAGATCCCTTGGGTGGATCCCTTCCTGCCCCACAGAGCTGTGTGTGTCTAAGGGGTGTAGCACATCACTGTCCATTTCTCCTTGGATTATAGGAGCTTCATTCTGCTCCCTACCCGTCTTTCAGCTCAGGGGGCTGGGTACCCGGAGAACACATGGTCTTACTATTAAAGACCGAGGCAAAGAAGGCATCAAGTACCTCAGCCTTTTCCTCATGTTTCCCACTATGTTTCCTGCCGCATCCAAAAGGATGGAGATTCTCCTTAGCCCTCCTTTTTTTATTGGTCTTTTTGGCATTTTTTATTGTCTTTTATGGCAGTAGCTAGATTAAGTTCTAGTTGGGCTTTGGGCCTTCCAATTTTCTCCCTGCACGACCTCAAGACCTCCTTGTAGTCCTCCTGCCTTGCCTGCCCCTTCCTTCCAGAGGTTATAAACTCTACATTTATTTCTGAATTCCAGCCAAAGCTCTCTGTTCAGCCAGGACAGTGTCGTCTTCCCTGTCGGCTTGTCTTTCAGCACCCTTCTGAGCTTCAGAACCCTTCCTGCACAAACTGTCGTGCCATCCCTGTTTGCCCACCCTGGTCCCCAAGAGCTTCTTTTATACGGGGAGAGGGCTTGGCCACCGTTGCTCCTGCCTGGTCTCCTCAGCCACTGTGGTGGGAGCTGCTGGCTCCTGGAGGCTCTCGGCTCCCCTGGTTCAGGAAACCGCAGGGGCTCACCTCAGCATGTGATTTGGGCATCTGAAATCAGACCTGGTGTCCTCCCCGGGCAATCAGGAAAGGTTAATTGGTGGTAACTCGGGGAGCATTGCCTTCCTCTGTGGCCTCTGCCAAAGGCACAGGGACAGACAGGGGGAGCGAGGGCAGGCTCAGCTGGCAGCGTTAGTGACAGCTGGAACACAAGGACTGTAACTAAGTAAGAAGCTGAAGCCAAACAAGCTACTGGCCTAATTCAAGAATAGCCCAAGCATCCTTTGTTCCTACTGGCAAAAATGAAGGTGGTTGGTACCTTAAAGGCTACTTGGCCCCTCACAGGACCAGGCCTCAACATGAAGATCTGCAGCAGAAAGCTGTTTCACTTTTTTTTTCCTCACTGGGTGGGTGTTGCTTCAGTTGCTGTTTTGAAGGTCTTTGATTAGTTGTACTACTAAAATACAGCAACAAATACTCCATGCAAATGCTTTTCCCGAGTGAAGCCACATTGCATCTCTTTTTCAGAAACGAATAAATAAAACACAAATTGCATACTTAACCTATTCTGCTCCCTCACACACCAGTTGACTAACCAGACCCCATCCTCAGTCACCCCCCGCGTTCCCTCCCTCCCAGCGAGGCCGAGCTGTGTTCAGCAGGCAGGGGCTGGCGTGATGCCTCTCGGTGTTTCTGCCATCGCTCTGCATCTCCTCTGCCCTCGCCCAGCTCCAGCTTTTCATGAGCTTCCCTCCAGAGCTGCTGCTGCCCCGGCGCGGGCGGATCTGAGCCGCGGAAGGTGTCACTCTCTCGTGCCAGGCTCAGTTTCTGTGGCAGAAGTCGTGTGCCTAAAGGACACTCACCTGTGCCCGAGCCTGCAGAGAGCCCTGCTCCCTCCCGCTCTGCCGAGGGCGGCGCAGACGCTACTGACCTTTCCTGGGAGCTACGAGACGACCAGGAGAGTAGGCATCCTCAGAGGTGACACCACCACTCAGCTCTGTTTGCCCTTCTCTGCTCCTGCACAGCTCAGGACAGCTCATCCCGCCAGTCTGCACCGTTCCAGCCACGACTCACCTCGGGAGCAGCGCGCCGCCAGGCTGGCTCTGACGGGGGAGGATGAGTCCGGTGCCAGGAGGAGGCCAGTGCCCAGGGCCAGTCCCTGCCTCCTGCTGCTCCAGGCGCCTTCCTCCAGCCTGGGCGTGCGGCGGCTGGGGCTGCGCCGTGCTCTGCGAGGGCCCTGCTGGGGCTTGGCTCCAGGCACCTCACATTTCTCATACAGCCCTTTCTGAGCGCACTGACTGAGCTTTCTGCTTTTTCATTTCAGTAAGACTCATCCAGGCAAAGAAATCACAATTAGTTATACAAATCAAATTGTCAAGAACCAAAACACTATATATTCACAGTTGAAAGCCTGTATCTCAACAGGATGTTTTGTCTGCCACATTCTTGATTCCTTTTTGGTTGGAAACGCACTTTTTTCCTCATCTAGAAGTACCATGACTGGGCAAACACCAGCTGAGCGGACTATTAAAAAGGCAGTGCAGTCTGGAGTTTATGAATGAAGGAGACCCGTCTCCAATGCCAAACCGTACCAAAAAAAAAAAACCAAACATAAAAGGGACTTTCCGCCTTTAAGAAACAACTGACAATTTAAAAGTGAATGTACAGCTTATTCACAGGGTGAGAAGGAAGGGAATCTTCCAGCTGAATCTGCTTTACCTTGGAAATGGCTGAGGCAGCAAAGCATTTTCGGTCATTACCTCTCTGTCTTAAGCCCTGTTTCATCTTAAAAATAAATTAAGGAGCCAGAAAGCAGGAAGAAGACAAATGATAATTTTTTACTCCTTGAGGGACTGGGTTGTTCTCCCTCCTACCGCCATGACTGTGACCGTTGGTTTGTTCATCCGTCCATCTGTCCTGCAGCACAAGAGTTGAGGTTTTATAGAGTTTTTGTTCTCAGTCCTGCTCTGAGCATGGGAGAAAGCCGGCCTGAAGTGCTAGCGGCTGCTGTTCTTAATCGCTTCCTTTGCTGCAATGATCAGAGGAGTCAGACTGGAGAGAGGCTTGGCTAATTTTAAAAATGGATGCTGCCCAAAGGAAAAAAAGAAATGAACCATTACTTTCCAAACTCAGTTACTCACAGGCCTGAGCAGGATTCCTCTGGCTACCAGGAATATGCAGAAATAGGGCTGACGGGACCCTCTGCACCTGTGTCTCCACGTCCAGTACCTCGCTATCGCAGGCAAACACGGCCGTAATCCTATTAATCCATCTATCAAGGAGTCTTCAGCTTGCTGGGGTTTTTGCCCTGCCAGCGCTCTGGGAACGCTGCTTGCTGTGCCAGGCCCTTGTTCCTTTCAGGAAACTCCAAATACTTACTTAAGTTCCAGTTTTCTAAAGACGTGGGCTATTTTAGTTGGCAAAAAAGATGAGGGGCATAAGCCATTCCTGAGGAACCCCAACACCTCCAGGAAGCGTTTGTCCCAGCAGCATTCAGGCCCACGTGCTGTTCTGAAGGCCGCTCAGCACCAAGACAGAAGCAGGGAGCCAAGTGACAGAGCGCTGACGGACTCAGCTCCGGGCTGCAGCGAGAGCAGTGTCTGCCATCCCCAGCCCACCCCTCCTGAGCTGGCTGGCACCTCCACAGCGGGGACAGCCAAGTGGCACGTGTGGCAGCTCCCTATCTGCCACAGAACCTGGCACTGAACCTGTACCAGTTCTCATCTACTCGGCTGTGCCAGGCAGCAAATGGAGCTGTGACAAGTCCCGCTCAGCTGTCCCTGTTTTGGTGGCAGAAACCTCTAGAAGTGGGGCTCAGCAGCAGAAACCTCTAAGAGTAGGGCAGGAAGGACAAGCCGAGGCCCCTCTGATGCTCACAGTGAGCACCCCACAGCCCCTTCCTTCCCACAGCAAAATCTCTGACTGTTGGGCTGTGGCTGATTTCAGTGGGTCCCTCCCTGGTCATATCTCGGTACACGTAGCCACCAACACCATTTCAGGCCTCTGTACCTGGTATCATTCCACTTCAGTCATTTTGCCACCACAAAAAACTGAATATACTACCAAAATACAAAACAGGGCCACAAAAATGACCAGAGGGATGGAACACCTCTGCTATGAGGACAGGCTGAGAGAGGTGGGGTTGTTCAGCCTGGAGAAGGCTCTGGAGAGACCTTATTGTGGTCTTTCAATACTTAAAGGGGGCCTACAAGAAGGATGGGGACAAACTTTTTAGCAGAGCCTGATGCAACAGGACATGGGGTAATTGTTTTAAACTAAAAGAGGGAAGATTCAGACCAGATATAAAGAAGAAATTTTTTATGATGAGGGCAGTGAGACCTGGCCCAGGTTGCCCAGAGAGGCGGTAGATGCCCCAACCCTGGAAACATTCAAGGCCAGGCTGGATGGGGCTCTGAGCAACCTGGTCTAGTTGAAGATGTCCCGCTCATTGCAGGGGGGTTGGACTAGATGACCATTAAATGTTCCTTCCAAAACCATTCTATGATTCTACTTATTTTTCATTTGAAAAGAACCAAGACTGGAGACTAATATGAGGGGGTTCCATCTGGTGCCTTTGAGTTCAGCTGATAAGAAACCCATTCCATAGTAGAGCCACTTCACTTGCAGCTGGTTGGGATTTTACCTGCAGAAGTTCCTTGGCAGACCCTCGCCTGTCCACGTCCATCTCCAGGCAGCAGTTCAGAAAGTCACGAAACACAGCAGAGAGTCGCTCGGGGTTCTGCAGCTCTGGTGTCCCGTTCGTAGCTATCAGATACAGCGCCTGGAGAAGAAGGAAACACAAGACTCCACCTGTTTCTTTTATATCCATAAGTGGTCATATAGACCCCATTTTTTAAGATTCAGTCTCCAGTGACAGTTTCTTCCCTGGCAGAGGGTTAGAGATAATTCTTCTGTACCACAAAAACCCGAAGCCCAAAAACCCTGATGCAACCACAGCTCTCCCAACATCAAAATGATCTTTCCTTCGACAGCTGATTTCATTGGCTGACCTAGTTAGCAGGAACTACATCAGCAAAAGCACATTTTGTTTCGCCAAGTATTGAAACTAGCTTTACAGGCTATTTTAAAGTGCAAATTTGGTCTAACTATATTATTTCAAAGGACTGTTACATAAAATGTATCTTCCCAGTGCTCAACGGTCCCTAAAGTACAGCTTCCATAAAACAAAGGCAGTCAAGTTTTTTGCTCTGTTCTTGATAAAAACAGTAACCAGATGAAAAAAAAGTAAATCCATCAGCTTATTTCTTGGCTAAAGAAACAGAAACATTTGGAACCTCATTTTCAACACAGACACATAAGTTGCATGCACAAATATACCATGAAGAAAAGGCATAACTGGGCAGACAGGAGCCACCTGCAACTGTGGTCTTCACTTACGTGGTACAACAAAACCCTTTAAAGGTCTAATCAGAAAAATGAGTAATTCCATCCCTATGGTAATCCTGTGCTAGTTTTGCTAGTCAAGTAAATACATTAATGATGTCCCCATCCCAGAAACTGCCAGGGAAGAAATGGGAGGTCTCAGCAGTTGGGTTACTGAGAGCTCAGGCTTGGTGACATGGAGAAAGTGACTCAGACTATGAAAGAAATATGGTCACTAAGTATTACAGCAAAAATGGCAAGAAGAATAGACTATGTTGCCTTTAAACTATAATCTTTATGTTTCAGGCAGGCTTCCCAGTGAGAAGAATTGGAGGGTAGTTGGCTTCTCACAGCCACTGTTTTAGAAAAGTTTATTTATTTTTTTATTCTAGGAAGGCTAACATTAGACCTGTTACACTCATTTCATGTTTTCAGGGTGATCATCGCAGACAGAAGAGCTGGAACAGCTTAAAACCCAGAGCAAAGTGTTACTTGAGAATTGGGAATATTTGCCTGTGTTAAGGGTTGAGCCCTCTGTGAATTCCCTTCCATGATGCCCACAAAGATCCAGCTGCTCAGCTGAATGCAGTCACTCTGCACACACAGGCCTATCCAAACACTTGAAAATTCCAGCCTTATTCCTTCTCAATAGCATGAAGCCTATGCTAAGCTAAAGTTTCTTAAGCAAAGCCAAGGATGCTCAATTCCATGCAGGCAAGTCTTCCTGATACTCCTCAGGCTGAGGAATTATAATGTAATTTTGCAAAACACCGGTGTGCATTATCCAGTGTGGTTCACTTCCAACCAAGGTCTAACATGCTGAGAAGCTAGAGAGGTGAGTTCGTTCTGCTTTTGCAAGATGTTATTTAGAAACATAAGCCAAACATTTTGAACTATTCAAACCTAAACTTGCAAAATATCTCTAAAATATATAGTAATAATAATAGAAGTAGGTCTAGAAGTCTTCCGTTAAAATATCTGCGATGATAGTAACAGCTCTGTGCTACTGGCATTTAAATGGACCGTGACCAAATTGACTTTGTTATTATCCTCTTAAATACAGAGGAAAATTTCCAAGCCTAAAAAGGCAAATTAAAAACAATAAAAAGAAGTTTCTTTACTTTTCCCACAAGATAAGTGTCACAAAATCAGTCTTACCCTGTCCACCTGCAGCTGACCTCAGCCACCACACACGGTGGAGAGCTGGAGTGCCTGTCCTATGTTTAAATTTGCTACCCAAGGGATGTTACTTCGCTTGTGGTAAAGGAAGACAGCACCCATGTCAACACTGGAAATTTTATTCCAGCTACATCCACCTTACTGTGAAACAGGAGTGACAGGTCAAAGAGAGCTCTTTTAGTTGCTTGTTGGTTCACTGAACATGAATTATGAGGAAGAGTCACCTTTAGCTAGGTACTTGTCCTGGCTCCGGCAGCGTAGGGTTAATTCTCACCAGGAGCTGGGAGGGGACACAGCCAGGTTGGCTGACCCAAACTAGCCCAACTGGAGCGGGCTGGGGGCTTCCTGGGTTCAGTCAGTGAGCAGCAGTACATTAATCATGTTTTGTATATTTCTTTATCAGTGTTATTGTTGTTGTATTTTCTCTGCTGTTCTGTTAAACTGCCTCTGTCTCAACACAGGAGTTTTGCCTTTTTCTCCCCATTCCCCTCTCATTCCAGCCAGGGGTGTGTGTGTGAGCAAAAAGACCACATGGTTCTTTGCTGCCAACTGGGGTTAAACCACAACAGCACCTTTTAAATATTTCTACGACAGAAGAAGGTCTATGGGAAGCTAAAGTACTTTCTGATCATCTATCTTTTGGTTTCCTATGATACAGTCGGCAAAGAAAAACAAGAACAGTACAAAGGAAACGAATGCTTGCAGTAGCTGCAAAGCTCATTAATTTGTTTAACATATCAAGAAACAAGAAAGGATTCAGCATACAATTATAACTGCAGTCTCTGAAAATGATATCCCAAAGTTATCCAGGCCACCCAGATACATGACAGAACAATATACAGATGATTTAGAAACCTGAAACTGTAGAAGATCCACAGCATTTGGAAAATATGCTACAGTTCTGAGCAAAATTGATGCACTGTGGTTAACAAATGAAAAAGCAAACAGAAATGCTTAGGGTTTTGTTTGTTGTTCTTACTTTAAATTGAAACTGGGGAGTTTCAACCTGTATTTCAAGGGATATTTAGCACACCAGTGTTTGTCCCTCAGGCCCTAGGCATATGCCTGATGGAAGGAAATCACTGTGAGAGAAAACAAATACCATCACAGAAACATCCAGGACATTCACGGCTGGAAAATGGTTCATTCCTGTGAGTTCTGCAGAGGCTGGAAAGAGCCTGAGAAACACGGCATGTGTTTGCTCTACATGTGGGAAACAACAACTGCATCTACATTAAGACTACTGTTAACTCTCTAATTAATGATCCTGTAATACCCTTATAATTTATTTATGTATTTAAATTAGTGTCAGTAACTGAAGCTCCTGCACGCCTTCCATTATTAAAACAATCATTAAGAAAAATGAAAGAGGATCCTTTTGTTTCCAGGCTTTGCAGAATTCCCTGAATGTGGTGTAAATGTGATTATTAAACCCAAGAACTATTGTGTGTCGCCAGCTAAAAAACTTTGTATGAAAATGGGTCTTGCTTATAAGCTTTCCTGTTTGGAGGCAGCTGAAACCTCACACCGAAGTCTCTGATTGCAGATGGATCCTGTCCCTACTGGGGCTGATTTACCTTAATAAAACAAGTTGATAACTGGGGAACTTCAGGTAGTCCATCACAAGCTGTTCACTGTTCCTAGCTCAGGGGAAACAACCTCTGCAGAAGAGTTGAGGAAGCTAATACAGATGGTACCAACTTCAGATGCCTGATTTTAATCTACTGCAATTTCACTCAGACATCGGAAGGTGCCTGGAAGCTCTAAGTGTTCCAGTTCATCTTAACTCCAGCAGGAGATGAGGCATGTATGGAGAAAAAGAGCACCTCAAATCATCTGGGCAAGGGCAGGAATGCCTGACTGCGAATTTGGTCAGAGATACAAAAGCCAGTTATCTTTCTAACAGTTGACCTGAGGCTTCTTGAGGAGCCCTAATCAACATTTGAGGTTAAGGAGGAGGGAATTTTCAGCATCCAGACCAGTAATGCTAGTTCTCTGCATCTGATTCTGCTGCCTTACATAAGGCAAATGCATGTTTTTAAGGGTCCTTCCATGGAAGCGAGTGGAATACGCTTCCACGGGCTCCTCTTTTTGTTGGAAACTGAGGCAAAACTGGTGATGTGTGAAAGTCTCTGCTGGTAAAACTGGGCTGCAGTGACATAGGCCTACTGCCACCCTGCCAGCTGTGGGGCACTGTGATTATTCAGCATCAGTCTGAATCCAAACCTGTTTCTTTCTTATCCCCCAGCACGAGGTGGCACAGCACATACCACTCCACATGTGTGCACTGGAACTGAAAACCCCAGGGCACCTACCAAACCAAAGGAAGTATTCCAAGAAAACTCAGCAACCTTTTCTCAAAAAGAGTGGAAGACTGAAATTTGCATAATTGTTGTCCTCCTTTCTCACGTAACGTGGCTGGAGCTGTCTCCTGACCATCCTGTTGTTTCTTCTCTCAGTCTGCAGCACACAGTCTGGGTGCCACCGACCAGAGAGAGCACAGCCTCACTGCTATGAAAAAAGCTAGAGGTTGTGCTCTATTTTAATTCTATCCTTAACAAAAATTATGTATGTACACACATAGGCCAAAATTAATTTCCTCAGAAATTCCACCCTATCTGGAATTAACTGTGCATCGTTTAACTTTGTTTCAGCTATCAGTCATGATGTTTTATCTTTGTATACGTTCCTCTACTATGACACGCTCATTTGGTGTAACAACAGGTCATTTCATTTTAAGAGATTAGGATAAAACTCAAAACTTCAAAACATTAGCAATACATTAGTTTACTACAAACATCTGTGCTAAAACATACTTTTATAAACGTACTTGGTAATAAATAATTATGGCATTACTATAACCAGTGGCACTTCCCGAAAGGCTCAGGTAAGCAACTGGCACTGCTCTGAGTTTGAGGAGACATCTCTGCCTGCAGATAGAGTTGAAATGCTTTTTATAAAAATTCCCCATCTGGATAAACTTGCTGCTGAAAAATTCTTGTCATTCAGAGATACAGCTCCAAGAAAGCTCAAAACCAAGCATCACTGAAGGCAAAAATGGCACATTTCTGAACTGGCTACATGTCACTTCTCTTTTGAGGTTCTCCCACTGATGTAACCAAAGCTGAGGTATATGCTGATATGCTCCAGTGACATTTTTAGAAGCAGGCCTTGGTGGAACTAGTTCAAGCGGATGTGACTGTGATTTTGTCTCACAGGAGACAAAACATGGGACAAATTAGAAAGACAGTAGTATCTGATTTTATCTGCACTTACCCTGAGAGGATTTTCATTAAGGTAAGGAGGTTCTCCTTCCACCATTTCTATTGCCATGATCCCCAGTGACCAGATGTCCACTTTGGGGCCGTATGCTTTTCTTGTCACCACTTCTGGTGCCATCCAATAAGGAGTCCCAACCATTGTGCTCCGTTTACTCTGCTCAGGGGTGATCTGAGCACAGAAGCCGAAATCGGCTGAGGAGAAAAACAAATATTGTTAAAGCCATCTTGAATTATGAAACGAAGCAAGAGAAGTCCCCACCACCTGCCTGAGAATGCGCTGTTGAATCTATCTGGAAAAGCAGCCATGCTCTTTACTCACTGCTGTAGCCAAGGAAATATTGAATTGGCCACTTAAAAAAAATCCCTCAGGTTTCATGCAGTGGCTTTTATTCACTTGAAGCTTTAGATTTTAACTCCCTCCCTCTGGAAGGAACATACACAAACCAAAGCCACGCTTTACAGCCTTTTCCCTCTAATACCACTGTGCAGGTTGGAACTGGGCTCTTCGCTTGCAGCAGTGGTCAGTGCACCACCAGAGGCCATCACTTTTGGGTAACTGGCAGTCAGTCAAAAGCAGCCCCACACCACATCCTGGGAAGGCTGTGCCTGACCAAGAATACCTACTCAATTTGACAGATCCGTCCATCCCGAGAAGAATATTGTCGCTTTTGATGTCTCTGTGAATCACTTGGTTTGAATGAAGGAAATCCAGTGCTTGCAGGCACTGATAGATAAAAAAGAAACATGAGGGTAAAAATTAATGACCTGATTTCATCACACAAGAAAGGAAATGGCTCTAAAATATTTAATTTCTAGATGAATTGTGAGTAATGGCAGAATGTTGTGCTGTCAAAAGGAATAGCCTGCTGCTTCAACACTATTAGAGTAATAACTTTCTAAATGAAGGCATATTAGCTTTTGAAAGAGAAATGTCAATTATTGTTACAGACTGCCCCCTGGAAGCACAGACAGCATGACTGCTGCTGCAATGAATGTGCTATCCCCATCCATACGACAATCTATTGTTTGCCAAAAAAGGAAAAGTCCCTTCCTTTGGTAAGAAGTGGTGGGAGGCTGCATGATGAAGATTTTATTGTTAGGCTCTACAGCCAATTTGGAACTAGCCTGTTAAGTCATTTTCCAGAAACAAACACCATTTTGGGTGGAATACTATCCTTTAAGCTGAGAACTGTGATAAATGAGTCTCTGAGTTTTCTCTGCTCTTATTTTAAAATTCTGCCACCAGCGTGTTTGCTTTTACAAGCAAGGAATGCAGTACAGACATGTTCCAGGCAAATGTTTAAAGAGGCAAAGTTGAGAATAGTAAAACTAAAAAAAAAAAAAGGAAAAAAAGAAAAAAAGAGATAGTATAATAAACGGAGCAATATTGGCAGGCAGTTCACTTAAGATGCTCCTTCTTCTCTGTATTGAAAAAGCAACACAGAAACAAAACTCTGAACATGAAATCATTCATGTTCTTACCACCTGTTTAGAAGTACCCTCCAGTCCAAGTAATCAGAAGCGCATGTGGGATTCCTTACCTCCCTACAGACAGCTGCTATCTGCCCTTCATCCATACACGTCTCTGTAACAACATCAGTTAAAGAGCCTCCAGCCAAGTATTCCATAACCACCCAGAGTTCATCACCGACTAGGTAGCTGAAAGAAGGAAACAATGGTATTCAGATGAAAGCGCACAGCTGAATTACCTAACGAGAAAGACTACAACTGATTTTGATTCCAGGTCATTTTTAAATGAAGACAGAATAAAATGAATAGACATTTCTTCTAAGCTACACAGTACTTAGAATCTGTGCAGTCTAAATGAGAAAGGCACATAAGTAAAAAATTGGACATCTTAGATGGCAAGCAAGTGAAAAACGCAGTTTAGTAACAGCAAAGATACATCTTGAACCAGGACATATCACATCATCGTTCATCATCTTAGCACATAAATTCCATGATTAACTCCAGGAACAAGGCAACACAACTTTCATAGTTGTCCGTGGCAGGAGGGTGTGTACCACTGAGGACAGAAATTGGAAAACCTTACAGAAAATACATTCAGAAACAGGAAAAACAATTTAAAAACTGGCAAATTACATGTTTCTGAAAACAAGAACCTAGTCTTTCTGGCATCCACAGCAATGGAAAATAGTGGGAACAGCCCAGAATAATTTCTATGATGATTTATCAGTACTATCATAAGACACAGAAAATATCATCAACTGAAAAAAACCCAAACCAACAACAAAGCAACATGGAGGTAGTGAACTTACAGGCTGTTGCTTTAGTAAGATATGGGTGATCCAGGCTTTTGAAAACAGTCTTCAAACTATATATGCCAGAAAAGATTAATGCAGACAAAATGCAGTCCTCTCCCATACATCGTATATGAGTAGATAAAGAGGTCAATTTTCTGCCAGTAACCAAAGGGGTTTTTTAATCTTTGGCTTGCACTATGTAAATGAACATTCACAGGATAGTACCAGAACTACTTACCTGTCTAAATAGTTTACAATATTGGGGTTCTTATTTTCCCTCATGACCAGGATTTCATTAATAATTAGTTCCTTTTTGGGCTGTTGTTGGAGATTCATTTGTTTTATGGCCACCTAAAATGACATTGAAAGCCATTAACTTGAATAGTCTGTTGCATGAGATCAGCATGAACATGGAGTGTTTCTGGAATGACATAGCAGAGCTGTGCCAAACTATCTTCTGATTAGACATAAGAGCTCAGTATCTTACATTACAACACTCTATTTCTCTGCTAGCTTGGGTACTAGTTCCCAAACACATGGCCATATACATTTTGCCCTGTAAAATCTGTAAAAACGGTCTTTTGAACCACAAATCTCTAACAACATTCACTGGACCTACATTCTTCTCAAACAGACTTAGTTTATCACCACTGTTATTATTCATGCACTTCTTGCAAGCAGGAAGTGATTTTGTTACTGTGAAAATATATAAACCAGCTGGTAATACTTCAGCAACTATATGATTTTTTATCATTATTTTAGCAACTACTATTCTTCCCTTGATTGCACAACTGAAAACATATACATTTATTACGTATAAAATGCCGTACTAAAAAGATCATTAAGGTTACACAAAATTACAATCCTAGCACTTCTTGAATTTTGATTTTGCAACTTGAAACAATATTCTTTAACACAGTTTAGATTTGCAGTTATTTTCTGGGTTTAAAAAAAAGTAATCCATTTTATGGTATCTTACAGATACATCCAAGGTTATGAGCAGGGCTTAGGGCTTCTAGATCCCTTGCAGGCCTCTTTCTAAGAGCAGTTACATAGTGCAGAACTGCGGGTGGATGAGAAACCACCAGCAAGATTCAGATGTATTTGCTGACAGCCAGAAGTCATAAATCAGAAAAGCTGTAGCCCCAAAGAGCAACGGGGTTCTTTAAGTCACCACCGTGTCTATTTTCACTATTATGACCCCTTCTGCTCTGAACCACTGTAGCCATCCTGCCTCTGCCTCCCCCTGGCTCCTCCACCCAGTCCCATCTTCCCCCAGGCAGCCACCATGTCTCTGCTTAGATTTTTGTCCTGGCTCAGCCCTGCTCCCCTCCCTGCCATCCAGCTCTGCTCCAGCCCAGGACTCCTACAAATGCACCTTCCCCCACGGTCCCAGAAGAGCGTTCCAACACAACACGCATCTTGTGGGGAGATGTGGTCTTGTGGCTGTTTAAAGCCTGCCTCTTGTTGCCTCCATAGTCTATTTGGCCAGCCTCCCCCTCTGTCTAGTCCTGCTCTTGACATGGCACAAAAGAGACCACCCCTCCGCTCTCATTCCTGGTTTTCCAGCCAGACTTTCAGGCACAGTTTGTACTTATTTAAAAACTCTGGCTTGGAAAAGGAAAGGAATGCTAAGATGCCACTTTAAATCAGCTGCCACAAGGACCACCAGCATTTACACTGCTTTCCCTCAAGATCTTTCTCTCCCCCCCTGGCCCCTACTTCCCTGTGACCAGTTCACAGGCTGTAATGGGCTGTCACTGACACTGGACCTAAACACGACTGTATTGTTAGGAGAGATCTTTGCTCTTCATATGAGTCTTCTCATTTGTCTGTGTGTGTATCAACCAGCTTCAGTATGACTAAACCAAAACTGCATCCTAAACATGGCCTCTCCTTAATTAGGTCTTGCATTATACTTTGAAGATTAAATACATCATGGAAAAAATGCTAAACAGTATTACTGTCTGAACCTGTGATTAAGATAAATTGGCACCGAATGACGGCAGCCTCCATCAGCTAGTTGATGCATTAATATATTTAGTAATTAAGACAAAGCTAGTGAGTCCTTCTCTGAAAGATACTGCTTCCCAGCTTGCATTCTTTCTGTAGTTAATAAGGACAAAGTCTGTCCAAAATGAAGCAAAATAATGAAGGTATTTATTCCTATAGGGGAATCTATGACCACCCCTAGGATTCTCCCGAGACCTCTCATTATGACAGATCTTTAGATTTTGTATTGCTTTGTTTGTATTACTAGCCAATCACTGGCCAGCTCCACGGGCAGATTTTATGCTGTAAATGTACACAGTTAAATTGGATATATGGACAAACATCCTCTGTAATGAACAACTTCATGCACACTGGGGAACAGAGATATAACAATTTCTAAACCAATACATTTACATTGGCAATAAAACTTATATTGTTTTTATAAGGCCCAAAAGTTTGCTGGGAATTCTTTACAGATTTCTCTCCACTAAAATCCCCATTCAGGGATGATATAACACGGTACCAGGCTGGGATCAACAATACTGTGGAGAGCACTGACCTGTTCTGAAGACAGAGCAAGTAAAAAAAGAATTCTCTTACAATTGGCCTTAAAAGCTATAGGTGAAGCATCAGCCCAAGCACAGAGATCACCAAGACTCTTACTGATCCCAGAGGGGAAAGGACCTCCTCCCAGGAATTCACAGGCATCTTTTCAGCCATTAATCAACACCTCAGTCTAATGGTTGCTGGAAAGCGACAGCAACAGTAAGTGTTCAGTTACTGAGGCACAGAACCACATTGTCCTTAAAAAGCTTTCACTGAAAAGCTGCAGATGATGCATTTTGCCAGCTGACACTAGTCCATGCTTAGGAGGAACAGTCTTAGCAAGAGGGGTATTCTGCAGGCTGACACCAGCCTGTGCTCCAGAGGAACAGCCTTTGCAGTAAAGATCCACTGGTGACCCAAAAGCCCCATCCACAGTTTGTGCCAGAGGGAAAGCAAAGTCCGCTGGGGCTGTTGACGCTTACCTCTTGTCCTGTGGCGATGTCGATTGCTGTATAAACAGTTCCCGATGCCCTAGAAACAAAACAGCAGCAAAGAAATGAGAAGGAGTTCGGTCCCCGTGAGTGAAAGCAAGCCCAGATAGATCTCTGCTGGCTGTAGTGTTTAAGAAACACCTTTGTTCACCCACTCCTTCAGCCAGCAGTGCACAGCACAGCTGCCCACCAGCCCTCTGCCTGCAGGGTATCCGAGACAGAACTCATGTCCAACATGAAAAAAATGGGCTGCTGCAAATCTCAAATGTACATACTAAATTATTTTAGTTCAGAACTTAAGGGGGGGGGGGGGGCCTACAACAACTGGAAAATAATATGTTTAATATATTTAATTCTTTTTCATTTTCTCCAGGTTTGCTTTTTTTTTTCCCTCTCCCATTTTTTAGGGAGTGAGTGGCGTTTTTGTTTTGTTTTGTTTTGTTTTTTTTCCCAGAGAACGTAACATTCACTCTAGTTGTGCTTTCTCAGACCTCTTATTTGGATCAATCTGCAAAATTCAGGCAACACCATGCAGTCATTCCGAGAACCCTGAATACACATGACAGCCATTTGAGGAAAGGAGCTAGGCTCATGCAAGGAAACTATTCTCCAGCCATCCTGCAGGGCCACAGCCAGAGCAGGTTAAGGCATAGATTGTTTCACACACAAATGGAGAATTACTCAGCTTCTTTGTGCGTCAAGAGCATCAGCAGCTGCTTCTGTTAGGTGCCCCATACAGGAGAAGGACTCTTCGTGGTGTGTATGTTTTGCTTCTGTGGCAGACACAGGTTGTGCTGCAGAGTCACCAGAAATAAATGGCATGTTCACCTGCAGAACTAGACAGTGTGGGAGTCTGACTGCCATCTGCCTCTTGTTAGAAGAGGTTCTTCCAGTGTAATGATGCGAAGGGCCGGAAAGGCCACAATCAGAGGAAATCCCTTTAGGTTTAAAAGCAACTGTGGGCTCATAAACCCTAATGGGGCTTCGTTCTGAGCGAAACCACAGGTTTATACCGCCAGCATTTAAGAAGCCCTGTCTGCATGGGCAGGGAGACCAGGGAGAGTCAGGGCAGGAATTCTGAGATGCAGGAACACGCACCCAGCAAGTGTCCCACTGACTGAAAACGCCATAATCAGTTTGTTCATTTTTACATGATCCCCTGGCTTGTTTGTTTACCTGCAGGCTGAAATATTTCTGAAGCATTTTAATTCAACAGGCACCAGAGACTGTATGTCTGTGTTGAGAACAATGTTCTCATTGGGCACGCTATGTATTCTTTTAATATAAATGCAAATGCATTTTCCTATGACTAATTGTCGAGATTAATCCAATTTGTTTTCATAAAAAGCCAACAGCATTTATTCAGACTTGCTAACACTGTGCTGTACCTCCTGAGCAAAGTCCTGACAGGATTTATTTAAAAACAGCTTATTTAAATTAGGATGCTTTTGGTATGCTCCAGGCCATCTGTGAGGAGTTTAGATAAAGGTGAGTAATTTAAGTAAAGCTGTGAATTAATTGCAAGGGCTCTGCAATTCTGCATTATGAACTTTTACTTCTAAGCAACTGTAATTTCTGATCTGTATCTAACTTTTAAATGCCTCTGTAATATTTTAGTTTTAATGCAGTTAAGCAAGTACCAGGGCCCACAATCAGATCTGTGTCACTGTGATGCAGTGCAGTGCAAGTGAAAAAAACCAACCTGCACCCGGGCTGCTCATGGCTCCACACTAACCTGTCTTCCTAGCAAGAGCTAACACTGCTTGAACGAACACAGCTTCTTTATCAAGCACTAGTTAACGAAGTTTCCTCTAGTGTCAGCACCGTTTTTAGTCCTCAACTGGAGACAGATGACAAATCAGAGAATCAGCACTGAAGCTGGCCTGTTCTTCAGCACAGGCTGCTGGCTGCCGTGCCCTGCAAAGTGGCTGTAAAACCATCACACTGTTTAGGACCTTACCAGCTGTAGGAAGCCATGGAGTGCTACATGCTGGTTGAGTTGCTCTCCCTTATGTAAGACGTTGCTCTCTACCTGCAGTTCTCTGAGCAGCCACGTTTCTCGCTGCCTTGCAGTGCACTCATTAACAGCTACTAAAAAACTACCCACTTCCAATGCTACCAGTGCCTTTGGCATAACTGTACCCAACTCACTGCAAAGGCGGGCAGCTCGGGAACCGGCACCTGCATCAACTAAGCACACCAGCACCATCCGAGGCAGTGTGTCTCAGCCAGCCCTGCTGCAGACAGACTCACTAAGCCCAGCCACGCAGCAGCTGGTTCCTCCTGATCACCCTGTTTGATTACCTTTGTGATGATTATTTTTTCTTTAGGATCTTTCCCCGTCACTGTAAATTGACCTGCAGCATTACAGTCACGAGCTGGTTATGGCAGCACACTCACTCCTCTGTAAGAAGGGCATGCAATCTTCAGGCTGTACTAAAAGCTGGAGGAAATCAATTTGGGTACCCTTTTAGGCCAGATATTAGCCACTTGTCTTTCCACCAGTTGAGACACCTTTGTACAAGCTCACTCCTAGGACTGTCAAAATAAAAGACTGTGAGGGTGATGGTCATATTCTCACAGTGACAGCAACAATCTGCTTCACACGCATGTTTATTCTGACTCTCACTTCTTCAGCTGACACTTATCTTTTGAGAGACTGACACAGCTCTACGTGTCCACTGACATTTTACAAATGACAATAAGAACCAAAGCTTCAGGAAGAAAGTGAGCTGGAATCTAAGAAAAGGTTTTTATACAATGAATGGAGCAGAAACACCTTCTTACAAGTGCCCTACCAAACAAGATATATCTACGATAAAGCCTGCCAGAGAAAGAGGATGAATGTGTCTGGCTTTCTGCAGTACTTATCAGTTCTAGGTCAGCAACAAGCTACTCCGAGTTCAAACCTCATAAGGAGTTAAGGCAGAAAACTATCTCCTGATGTCAGTAAACAGCTCCTGTCATGCACTGACAGCAGTGTGATCCTGGTGTTACACAAACAGTGCTAGTCCTCCTGCCATTACAACACAGCCAAGGACACTTTGACTGAGGCGGAGTCTGTCTCCGTATTTAAAATACCAGTCAGATACTTAATTTTGACGTAATTTCTTTTGTTCTTGCCTCCTCACATAGAAAAAATTTCCAATCAATCCTACTTACAGTAAGCAAAGTTGAGTTTCAAAAGGGAATAGTTTGGTTGACTATTTTCAGTAAAATCCTAAAACCTGCAGGATCCTCAAGTGGTCTGCCATCAGGCAGGTGATGCATCTTCTCATCATGTACTCTGTGCATTGACACTATGTTTATTACTGAATTTTTGGATTTTACCACATCTGCTAGACAACAGAGCTTATTATTTAATTTTTTGTTTCAGTTTCTAAACTATGTGGTTATAATCCTGATCACTGAATATTTTTTTAGCAAAATATTTGAAAGAGATGCTATTGAGAATCGTTATTTATCTGACAACTCTCAGTGGTAAGCTGCTCTTCTAGGCAATACAGTTTCTTCCCTTTCTTTAGCATGGCTATATTATTTTGAGATACACACAAATTATTTTTCCTAAGAAAAGAAGCAAGCAGTTGTCACATGCAGGATCTTCCAGGTCCTGCTCCTTGCTGCAGTCAAGACATTGCCAGCATCAAGTTGCCTTTGACAATACCTTCTGGCCACAATTATAAATTCTGAGCAGTACTGACAGACAGGAGAATCTAAATGCAGCGTTTGAACATGTTTGGAGCTAGCCTGACTTCATGCTTAATATTACACCAGTAAAATACCTGGCCCATGTTTTTGTATACGTAACTGTGATTGGACTTACCCTTGGCCAATTTTTTCAAATCGAGTGTATTTCTTCTTAGGATCTCCTACGCTCACAATGCTCCCTGAAAGAAACAAAATTAAAGATGCTCACTTAATAACAGAAACACCACCTTCCAGCAGATCAGAAATGAAGCCCCATTGTCTGGGGTTCAGCTGTTTGTAGTCAGTTGGGTAACAACAATAACAATACAGGCAGCTTCACAGCACAGATGGCCTCCATGAAAACTGATTTTCTACAGCCCTTTGGAGAGTAAACTTGACAGGAAACTAAGAACATGGAGAAACATTCACAGGACACCAATATCAGAAAAGCAGCACCACCAATGCAAGTGTTTGATGTCTATAAACACTATGAGAGCTGGAACAACAGAGACTTTATTTTCTCAGGAATAAATACTCTGTGTGATTCAACAGAAGGTTTAATACTTCTGAAGACTAAATGCACCTTGGGTTCTGGAATCAATTTTTATGAACAGGTGCCATTTTCAGAACAGGAAGAATATTGCAAAGTGTTTCCAGGAGGCAGTCTTCTCAACCTTTCAGCAGTTTGCCAAAAGAACGCCTTTATGTTTTCAAAGAACAGCATCTCATGTTACAATCAATAATTATAGGGCTTCAAGAACTACGATCCACATAATTCATTGCCAGGCTAAGTTCTCAGGAAGACCTGGCTTTTGCCATTTTAAGAAGCCCACTGCTGGCCTTCAGCCTGACTCAGATGGGTAACTAGCACTTGACTCGCAACCTCAACGCTGCACACAAATAAGCGCTGCCGTGATGGCTAACAAGGCCAGCGATATTCCTCAGGCACTGGTGTTACACAGACAGCTGCACTAATGAGATGCTGATAATACCATGCGTACAGGGGATGGGTTTCAGAAGGCTGGCTGAGGCCAGATGGGATGCTGCCGCCTCCCGGCAGCTCTGGGCTGCAGCCGTGGGAAGGACAGGGCCGGGACAGTCCGGCTCCATCAGCCACCACGGAGCTCCTGTGCCCCTGACAGCTCAAACTAAAGCACGCACTGCTTGGCAGCTTCCTGCCCACTCGGAGGCGTAGGCAGGCTGAACGGGAAGGAAAGGAGGCAGTAATTAGGATGCTATGTTTGTGTCAAATGAAAGAGCCAAAATCTGATAAGCTCAAACAAAACTGAAGGAATAATTAAAAAAAATATTGTTTTTTCTGGTCCGGTAGTTTCCTAGATAAATACAATGAAGCCTAAGGTGATGGCTCAATGCAAATGACTTCTAAAGATTTATCTTGGAACATACATCACTGAAATACTTTAAGAAGATTAGTTCAGGAGGAAAGACTTCCAACATTTCCCAGCATATTTTGTTTGGCTGATCTGGCAATATTCCTGAATCACAAATACAAACACGTACTTATTTGTTCACCTGAGCACCCAAAGCAAAACTCAGCAATTCACTAGAAGTAGTAGCAAACACCCCTCTCCCTTGTCGAGGCCATTTCTCTGGAGCAGGGGGCTTTAGCATCCAAACAGGCATCTGACTGGATGCCCAGCCAGGAATCCTGCCTGCCAGCACGGCAAGAAGACGGGGCATCAACACCATCTGGTCCGCTGCCTGCTAAAACAATTTTGCTGGCCTTGGCAAGGCCGCTAATGTGAGCTGCAGGAGGAGAGGTTTCCTTCACCCCGTGGTACTCACTCCCTTCTCCCAGCACTCCAGGAACCGTGGCCAGTGCCACGGCCGTGTGAGCACCCACCTACTGGCCGAGGGTGCCACCACAGCCTCAAGTCACCTGAAGGGGCCCTGCCCTGCTGTGCCAGTCTGCAAGAGTCAGAGCAACTGGATTGTCTGGAGTCCAAGCCAAGGACATAATGCTTTCAGGACCCAGTTAACTTCTTGCAGTTTTACCTCACTGAAACGTATAACGTAGGACAAAGCTTTCATTCTGCTTCTCTACGGTAGGTCTCCAAAACAAAATAGCCCTCCAGTCAAGAAGAATATGACCAGGGGACTCTGGGAGCCCCTTTGAGCTGACTGTAAGAAGGCATGTGAGATGAGAAAGCACAGCCTCCTGCTCACACTGCTGAGCTTAACCATCCCCAGGCAGGGATCCCCACGAGACTCTGCAGCACTAAACCAAACGCTGCCGTCATCCCGGGATGGGCTGGACAACAGGAAAAACACTCTGCTGTCAGTGTCTGTCTGCCCAGGTGCTATTTTCAGCTCATTAATGGAACTGTATATCTATCACAACAGATATCAGAAGTTCATGGAAGTTTATGTTAGAAAAGAATAAAGAAAAAGACTGCAGAACAAATATTTTGAAAAAGAATTTTCCAAATTTGCCACTCATTTTGCAGTTCAGATTTCTGTAGTTTTTCCTCAAACCTTGAGTAGCTGCTTTCACAAGTTAGTTGTTTGTGCTGGTTTCCTGTGCTTAAGCCAATGAACATCAAATTTGACAGCACTAAAATCAACAAAGTGACTGGTAGACAGCTCCAGTTCAGAGAAGCATTCCCTGCTCTGGACCAAATATAAATATATCAGCTATTTTGATGTATTTAAGCACTTTTTTTGGTCCTAAATTAAGTGGATAAGAAAGCAGAATTGGGCCACTTCTGTTTTTTAATTACAGTGCAACAAATTAATGATTTCATTACAGACAGAAATTTTTTTGATCTTATCTCAATATTATGGGCTTTATTCCCTAGTAAAACTTGTAATGAAAGTGGTTCTAAAAAAACCCAAGTTGTTTCAAGCAGAAAAGAATTATGAAAGAAATTTAAGATAAAAGAGGGCAGGGGGTATCTTCCTAAAATCAGCATAACATCAGTTGTGGGGGAAGTAGGCAAGGTGGAGAAGTCATACAAGTTAAAACAAAACAGAAAAAAACAACCACCACACATACTTGAATAGCCCAAGCCTGTAACACAAAAGCATCACCCCTGCTTTGAGATAGCTTCATGAAAGCACAAAAAGATTTTCATTGTCCACATTTCAATTTGCCCAAGGCAGACCTTCAGACCTTGCTCACTGGGTATCAAATTCTTAAGAAAGAAAAAAGCATGAAAGCATGTAACATTTCGAAGATATAATCCACAATAACTCGAGGGCTCAGCCCAAACATGGCATACACAGGAGCTTGAATAAACAATACACATACTTACATTCATGTATGCAGGGTACCTGCAGATCTCATGGTGGATGCCTACCTCAAACATTCATCCTTGGTTGAAGAAGCTGTAATTCCTCCTCTTTATATGTTGACATACCTGCTCGTAACTATCTGCTCTGGCATTTATTTCACTGTGCCCTCAGCTAAAGCTACTGAACTTATCCCTTGAATACTCCCTAATGGCACAGAGATTCAGTTCTTTTTAGTCTTGTCAAAATGCTACAGATGCAGAAGACCCTCCACAAGGAGCTGAAATCTCACAGCGAAGGAAGGCTTCAGCCTCTGCAGTCACACCAGCCATCAGCAGCAGGGCAGGTACAACAAAAAGGTAGGTATAGCACAAGAACCAGCATTGACACAATCACTATGAAGAAGCCACAGCCAGACTGCACCCCTTTACAAGCAGTTGCCCCCATTAAAGACAAAATGTTATTGGCTTTGAGATCAAACACAAGGAGGTATAGATCAATCTACTTTTTGTCCTAACAGGGAATGGTAGACACAGGATAAACTAGGCTATGTTATGAACCCAACAATTCATTATCTGAGAACACAGCACCACCAGCTATTACGTGCAAAAAGCAGATTAAATCGGTTGTACTGCAGAATCACAAAGGGCTTGATGTGTTTTCCTAGAGTATGATCTGTGCAGGGGTTTGGGGCCAATGGTTAGGATTCTAATAGTATTAACTGGCTGGGAATTAGCTATGACAAAGTGCCATGTATCTGAGGAATACACAGTGGATGTGCTGGAGGCTGGCTCCTGAGAAACGCTTGCAGTGCAGGTTTACCACATCATGCCACATTGATGTGTCTCTCTGATACATCTTTATGAGCATAAAGCTAAGAAATAAAATAAGGTTTGTTATAAAAGTATTTTTTTTTCTTTTGGGGCACATTTAAAACACCTCTTCCTCTCTATTCACAGTGTCAATTTTGATGTTCTTTTAAAGGAGTTCTCTCTGATAAAAATGTAGAGTTCTTATAAAAACGAACTCTGATATATTAGTAGAAGTAGTAACAACAATTGCAAAAAGGACACCAATAGAATATCTGTGGCAAGAGAGCTCCCTGAGGCTGGAAGGAATCAGCTTAGTGCTCTAGTTGTCTACTGGTAAAAAAAATACAACAAAAAAAACCCCAAGAACGAAACCCAAAAAACCCCACACAACAAAACCCCAGTAGATTTCTGCAAAGTATTCTGGCTCCGATGACTGTTGAGAAGTCAGGAGTCTAAAGAGAATTTAGGAACCCGAGTATTCTGTTTGATTTGGCCATCAGCACACAGGAGTTCACTAGGTCATTCACTAACTCACAGCCTTCTGCTCAACCAGAAATAATCTCGGCTTTTGCCTTTAGCATAGAAGGAAGCACAGGCAAATCCAGCCCAGCCACAGTAACCCTCAGAGGCAGAAGGAAAACCCACAGTGCTCTCTCACTTCCTCTAAGCTCAATAAGAGTTTGTAAGTGACTCTGTGACACCAAACTGATGAACATTTGGTGCATATAACCCTGAGACGTGCGTACAGTACATTGCTTTATCAGACAAGAAATACAGAATACGTACTCAGTTTCTCTAGGATCTCCTCATCTGTCATCTTGGATTTTTTTCGCTGCCGGTCTGTGTTTCTGTACAAAGTGTTTGTGTTGGAGTTTTCAGGTTGGGGAGTGGTGGCTTCTTTAGCTGGTGCTGGTGCAGCGGCAGGTTCAATTACAGAGCGTGTGTAGATCTGTGACAAGAAATTATTTGTGTCATAAAGGTGGCTTGCAGAGATGCCCCTGAGATCATATTTCAAATACAAATCCTTAGGAAGATCCTGTCTGCCACATACAGGACTCTTAAAATGTTTGGTTTTGCTGTCCAGCACTCAAACTGAATGGGCAAAAATGAAAGGCAAGTTTTACACTTTTTCATGGCCAGTTTCATTTTCAATTTTCTTGAAAGACAACTGAAACAATGGATTCTGTGTTGCAAGGACACATAAGTAGATCTGTCTGGAGCCCCAGAGTCTTGTTGCTTGATGCTCCTATGTTTTCATCGGTAACAAAATTACTTCAGTTTGTACATGTCTGAATAGAAGCAGGGAGCATCTCCCTTTTCTGATCATAACTGTCAAACTAACTTCTCATCAGTTTTTCAAGCTGTGTGGACTGGCCATTAGGAGCTGCGTTCTAGTCCTACAAAGACCTACCTTCTCTTTAAAATGCATAGCTGTGTAGGATTCTTCTCACCTAACTTCAGTTGCATAAAAGTTAAGGATGTAGCCTGAGCTGTTCATTTAGCTACTTATATCATCTGTGGAGGGGGACAGGTACCTCCAGGGGACAGTTTCTCCCATGTAACCTGCAAGGGTGTGAACTGCGTCTGATGACCGCTCTCTCCGCTGATGGCAGAGAACCTACACAGATACTTTGCACAAAGTTGCTCGCTTTTACCAGCAGCATTAAAAGACACAAACTAAGATAAATTCACAGACCCTATCAGAATCACAGGAAACCCATGACTAACTGAGATTTTCCTGGCGTCCATGGCCTGGGTGAAGCACTATGTCATGGTATGACTCCAGCCCTCAGGAGTCTTCATTTGCAAGTGCTGCCTGATCAGAAACATCCAGCTCTGAACTACACCAAACACAGAGCTAGCCAAAGCTGGGACTTACTGATTTTGTATGTTCTGGCCGTGGTGCAATAACAGGTGGAGGTTCATTGTCATCTTCCTCTTCTTCATCATCTTCATCCTCTTCTTCAGAAACAGAGGGAGCTAGCGGGGGTTCTGATGCTGTTTTCGTACTCTAGGGACAGACAGAAGCATGAGTGACAGTCACCATTTTGGCACTTGGAAGGTTTGATAACTACACACAACTTCAGTCTACTTAGACATCAGAAACCCATCGAGACACGCCTATAGTCCTACAGGCCTCAGTTCTAAGTTACACAGGTCACAATACAATTTAAAGGTTACAAATTACTGTGCTGTTTTCTTAATTTGTCTTGATGTTTTTCATTTTTGCTAAAAACAACTAAATCACTCCCATGCTTAGTGAAAGTCTAATTTCACAAAATGTAATGCTTGAATATATCACTACAAATCACATCTAGTTGCTGGTTAATTGCTTTGGCATTGTGTCTACAGAAATGCTAACAGTTAATTAAGCTAACAGGTGTCTACTGGCTAGGTTAATTAACACACTTCAAAGTGCAAAGACTCCTTCATCGTCTTGCTGGGAATTTGATTTTGGAGAGAAAGGCTATTTGTTTCTTTACTATTTTACCCGTAGGGTAATCCTATTGCCTGTTTCCAGTGTGCTGGATTTCCCTGTTTAGCAGCTCCTTTTTCAGCACCATCCTCCTCTTTACCTAATCATAAGTTAACAGGTTGATCTTTCCACTGTTTGCCTGTTTCTTACCCAGAGCAGCAGTAACCCTCTCAGCAGCCAGGTGCCTCCTGCAGTCCTGCTGGGGCTGCCAGGCAGGAGAAGGAGAAAAGCCCCTGCCAGGGTGTAGTTCACCTCCAGGCAGACTGCAAATACGGGGCAGGCAAGGGAGGTCTGGCCGAGCAGCTGTCTACGTGTAAACCAAAGCCCACAGTGCAGGTATTTAGGTGAGCTGAACACCCTCTGCCCAGCCACAGCCGCTACTCAGAGGCAGGGGGTTATAGCACAAATTGGCTGGTGAAACCAAAAGCTGAAAAGGTGCCTTGTTACGTGTTTACCAACTGCTTTAAAGCTGGCTGCAACAGGCCACTGGGAGAACTGAAGCAAGTCAAAGGCACTGTTCTAAATATTCACATCTCATTTGCGTTATCTTCAAAATGGCATCAATTTGGACCAGTATAAATACCAGCAAAGGATGGCAAGCAGGTAATGGCAAGAGCTAATCTTCATGTTTTGCTGAGTAATGACTGTATCATTGCTTTAAATCACCTGTACTTGAACACACAGTCACATAGATACACACAGAGCACTGTATTTTCTGTGAGACTCGGTTCCGTTACTCAACTTTTAAAGGCAAATGGTGAAACAGGTTATTAATGTGGCCAAAGTAGGGAATGAGACATCAGACATTCTGAACACCAGTTTAAGGGCCAACTCTGTCAAGCAAGGGGTTGTCCTAATGGAAAGGTGAATGTTACTTATCATACATTAGATCAGTGTATAGCTTTCTATGCAACATTAGCATACATGGGGATAGCAGATGGTTAAGGGAAAAATAAAGAAAGCAATAATCACATTTCTGTTATGTCAAATTCTTCTAACTATTTTTTCCACTGAGCTCCATGCTTGGTTTGACAGCCCTAAATTGTGCAGCTAGAACATATACAATGTCATATTATTTAACGCCAGACTCCCATTAAGGAGTGAAATGAAATTAAAGTAATTTCAATGACTGCTCCATCCTGTCAGGGAGTTGTTTTCCCCGTACTATAACATTCAACCAACATTCTCTGAGTCGGTAACTTTTGAAAGCTGACATCTTGACTCACCTGTCTGCATCTACTAGAACAAAATACCACAGCATCTGCCAATGTGTCCATACCCACTGGAAAACCTTCCCACTGGAAGGCTCTACTATGCTCTGGTGAACCCCAAACTTCCTTTTAAAAGTGTGTTTTATTAAAGACAAAGAAAGTGGCATCAATTGAAAATCTGAAGTGTGAATATTCAAAGATGGTTTTGATTTCATTATACACACTCTCTTCTGTGTAATCACAAACTTAAAATTAAGTTGCTTAACACTTGAAAATAAAGGCCAAATCCCCATTCAGTCATTTGCTATTTAATGCACTAACATTAACACTAATAAATCTGGACAATATTAATGTGGATGTCATGACTGCATCTCTGGGATTGCTATGGCAATCCAGTATTAATTAGAGTGGATGATTATTTAAAACTTTCTTTCAATGGTTCCAGTGAGTTACATATCAATTATAACCTTATTTATATTCAGCTACATATCCAGCTGTACTAAGGATAAATCATAAAATTTAATAGAAATGGATTCTGAGTTGTTAAAACTAAATTAAAATGGGCTAATTAGACAGCACTGCATATTGTTGAGCATTATATATTCCACAATGGCTAAGAACAGCAAGCAATCTTCTGTCTGCAAAACCAGACTTTCATCTGTTTAAAAGTTTTTAAACAGAAAATTAGAAAACAGCCAGTGCTCCCTTTTCTGCTGCAGCAAAGACACTAAAACGTAGCTTCTTTCAGCCTCCAAGGCTGGCACTGTCACAACAGGCAAAGCTCACAGCTTGCTCCACAATTCCTAAACACCAAGAAAGTCGAGGGTTACTTTCACACTCACCGAAGGATGGGCTTCTATGTATCCGTGGGCGCTTTTATCTGCAATGGGCAAGGGGAAAATTAACCAGATGCTGTTATAAAACTGCCTGTTGTGGGGAGTCCCACAGAACAAGTAAATCCAAACAGATAGCATTTTTCTTGCACAACACCCTTCCAGTAGCAATGGTTATTTCACCTAGCAAGCAAGATAACAGCATGAAATTCTGGGTTATTCTTTTTCTAGTTTCTTGTGTCTATTTTTTGCTAGTAAATAAAATACATAGAAACTTGGTCAAGAAAATGCAAATTGTTCTTTAACAGTCAATGCCTCTGTTCCACCTAAGAGCTAAAGCACCTTTTAAATTTTATTTTTATATAAATTGCAAGTATTGATTCTCTTTAGTTTGTGAAAATGTTTCCCCATAAAAGCTTCTGCAAAATCCCCCTTTGCTGTGGCAGTTCTATTCTGACAGCACAGTAACTTAGGAAGGTTCAGGAGCATACAGTAATTGTTTTGAATTTTGCATTTTGTCATAAAACTAATTGCTATTTTAGCAGACATTAAGTGTCAAGCTAGACAGTCAAATCTTTTAATTATGGAATTTAGAAAAAAAGATGCTCAAAAGAAGATAAATGCTACTAAATTCTGGAGATAACCACAGTTTTTAGAAGGACTTCTGAGAAGCTCTCCCCAGTCTGCATTTTGGAAGTTGTATTGGTTCAACCAGTAAACTGAGGAAATTGCAGACTCCACTGCCACAGACCATTGTGTGTAGGGAACTGAACCACCAGGTTAAATTACAGATGCTGTCCACACCCTGTTGGACAGAGATACCCCCTTATTAACTAAAGCTGTTGACATAAGCTTTACCAAACTAGCGGTATCTTGAAGGCATTTTTGTTTAAAAGTCAACGCAGTTATTAAGGAATAGCAAAAGAACACATCAATACAAAAGCCAGACACGCTGCACCTAGTAAAAACTTCTGCTTACATGCTAGATGTGTCACCAGCCAGAGTGTCTGGCAAAAAGAAAGAATGGACCAAAGGAAAAAAAATGCCAACTGCAGCACAGACTTGGTCTCTCGTTTTCGCAAGGTTACACTAGAATTCTGCAGACTGTACATAACCAAGGGAAAAAATGACACCCCCATCACATTTGCAGGCTTTCAGACAGTAACATCTAAAACACAAGTATGTTCCAGGAACGAGCACGCTACGGAGGTTGCTCTGGACACTGATGCATTCTCATTCTCAGTGGCAACATTCCTCTTCCATCACAATAGCAGCCGTTCTAGGTTTGTGAATTTATGCCTAGCAACCTAACCTGCCCTACAGATAACGCAAAAAAATCATCAAAAATTCTCCTCTACCACGAAGTATCACAAAAAATTCTCGTAGTCCCTAACCTATTGCTCACAGGATGCAAGAGTAACTCATAAAATCAACAGAAGAATTATACCCTGTACCCTAATCTGAACATTGTAAAGGGAAAAGGATGTGAAGAAACAAAAGTAAACATGATCTTTGGCCATAAGTCTTCTGAATAAAAATGGTAAAGATTGTTCCATCTAGTATCTTATTTAGTTTTAAAAGCAAGGAACAAGGAAAAGTCACGATTTCAATGACATTTAGGGGACAAAAGGAGAAATATAATTCATTTCAGGAGCATTCCACAATGTGGAATTTTTTAAGATTGCTTCTTGAACACTTGAATGTTGAATTTTGGTCTGACTCATTTTGGGTCTGACGCTCCCTTTTTCGCAGTGAGGTGTCGACTTACCTCCTGACGTAAAGCTCATATATTTCTGGTTGTTAACTGTTTCTTTGGAATCATAAAATTTGAGAACATCTAGAACAGCTTGTGGGTTCTTCTTCTGCTCCAGTTTTGTTATGTTGGAGGTCTGTAGTAGCCTGGCCCACTGCTCTGGAATGCCCTGTAGATGTCAAGTGGAAAGAATGTGGATTTAGAACATTTAACAGCCACAGCCTCACAGATCTTTACCAAGATCCCATGCTACCTGTAAGATTACTTTCAGAAATTTTGATTGACACCTCACAATTAAAATTAGTGGCTTATACATTAGATGCAATCATTTTCTTCTCTATCAAAATATAGAGCTAAAACCAGGATCCAACTTTAAAAAGAAAAGAAAGTTATGACTGTGATAGGAAAAAAAGTGCATGAAACTCATCTTTAAATCAACTCCGCTCTTCCATGGAATAATGATTTAAGGCTTAGCTTGTTATCCTGGTGATTCAGTGCAGACATAGCAAGACTATTCTATATTCATGGACAACACATTGTATTTTAGGAGCTTTACACTGGATTTTTAATGCTTAACACCACAAACACATTTTGCTGAAATGATCCTGCTATCTGATTAAAAGGAAATCCCCAGTCTGATACTATTCATTTTCAGCATACCAGGGAACACTGCGGGGTTAAGAATCTGCACTTAAATTCTCAAAATTGCCACACTGGGTTGTACCACTGCTGCTAAGGATGTCTCTTTTTTGAGCTCCTGTAGCTCTTTAGGTTTTCTACTGTAAATATGGAGAAAGCAGGGACTCAGAAAACAGGCTGAGAGTGCCGAAGCCTCGCATGAATTCTCGGACATCTTACAAGTGAGGGTGGCATTTGAAAATTGACCCAATCGCTGAAAGCCGCAGCTCTGCATTGAAATCATTTGATGAAAATTGCTTTAAATATCCAGTATAATTTCCTAAATTTGAAAGCCTGCAATTTTCCCCATTTACTGCACAGCCAACATCTACCAGCGAATTGTAAGGCTTCTTGATGATAAACTATACCTGAAGTACATTTAAACTTAGCCTTGTTGCCACCCCAATCTAGGTAAACACTTTAATACAGCTTCTTCCTAAGAAGTTCTCCACAAAACAATGTGTGACATGGGCCTCCAAAGTTTAGGATTAATGGAAAAAAGTGGGATAAGCCAAGCAACAAATCTACTGCAAACACATCAACCTGCTGCTGCAGTGCTATGACATCTCAAAGAAGCATTTTGATGCAAGATTCTTTTGGGCCTGTGACGCACCTCTGGGAGCTTCCCTGTGCACATCTGTGAGCCATAGAGATCTGGCTGTAATGGACGTAAATAAAGAAAGAAAAGAAAGTTAAAACAGAATGTGGGACAACTTAGAAGGTGGTAGGAGGAAACCAATGGGCCAAAATGGGGAAGTCCCATCTAAAATGGGATTTACAAGGTAGATACCAAAGAGAGTAGGTGGTGGACAGGCTACAGGAAGGCAGGCTTAGGAAAACAGAAAAATCACAACTGTTCCAAAGTTTGGAAGCATCATTCCCCCTTCTCTCTTTTTTTAAAACCAGTTTTTCTCTCCCTCATAAAAATACATTACTGAGGATTAATGGCAAGTGACTGGAAAAATTACCTGTAATTTCTTTTTTTTAGTTAAAAAATAAAAATAATAGAGAAAGATCTGGGCTTTTGCTGTTTGTCTAATTTGGAAAGCCAGGTTAGCATTTTTGAATGGCTCTACACAAGTTTTTTTCCAACGGTTCTCCAGCTCCAAGATCACAATTGGCCAGTGCACGAAACAGAGTGCAGTGGAGAACACAGCTGGTCAAGATCAGATTTCACACTGGGAGGTTGTGTATTGTCGTAACACAAATAATCTATGTGTGTCAGACTGAAAATCAGGACGATTCTAAAGAAATGCTTGATTAGATCAATAACATGCAACTTCTTTGGATCTATAGCCACAACTTTCTCCCACTTGCTAATGTCGTAACTTTGAAACTTTAGAAGTTTGGTGGGTGACCACATTTCATTCTAGACTGGGGATCAGGAAACTGTTTCAAAAATGCATGCCTTACAAAACGCACTCCCCAAAGCCCTGCAAACCACACTTCTTCCTCCATTCAGAAAATGCAACTGTTTCTTCAAAATAAATTAACAGAAAGCTCTAGCAGCATGCTCCCGCCCAACAGTTTCCAACCAATTTTATTTTGAGCTTTAAAAGCCTCAATTCTTAGCAAATGTGGTTGCTCCAAGCACAGTGAAATGGAGATACAACATACGTTCATGAGCAACAACACAGCTTGGTGCTCAAGCCTGAAAGCCAAAAACTCAGGAGCCCATGCAGCTTTGATTTGAGATGCGACTAACAGCAATCAGGTAATGCAGCTGGGGGTGACTGTTCGGTGTCAGAAAATGGCCCGATGCATTGCACATAACAGTAGAGCAGACACTACTGGCATGACAACTGTCATAATTCCAAACAACCCCCCCATATATTTGCACATCTACTGGACATTCCCATGGCACTTCCAAACTTTTGAAAGAGACAGACAGTGTGATCACTAGACAGTGGGAATATTTTTACATGATATGGCTAGTGGCAGTCCCTTCAGCAGGACATACTTACCACGGGACTGCTCAGCTGATACACGGGTTGTATCCAGGTTGGGACAAATCAAACATGCCTAATGTAGTGTGTAACACAATCCTTGCACCTGGGATTAGCTGGGAGCTGACAGCCAGTGCTTTGACTGACATTTTACTGCACCAGGGACTGCAGAGTTAAGTCCTGCACTGCACAGGGGAAGTCACCTGTCCCTTTGGTTTGTTTTAAACTAGTTAGAGCCTTCTCAATCTGCAGCACTGCGCTTCCACGCTTTAGGAATAGCTATTATTGTAGAAATACTGTGTAACTGTAAAACAGCAGCCATATAATGTCCACTGTTTTGAAAGGTTAAAAGATATTTTAAAAAAAGTGCTACAGTAATAAAGCTGGACATATTTAGCCATGTACAATCGCTTTGTTCCATAAAAGGCCAGGACCTGTGCTGGTAAAAAAATCTTTGATGCTAGACTGATCTGACACACTGGATGATAATAACAACCTTCAAACTGATCCAAACCCTGATCTCTGAAGTACTGCTAGGGAGTGCTCATGCTTAGAAGTGAAGTGTGTTAACCTCGACGTCCCTCCTTTTTGTTCCAGCTGGCGGGGACGTGAAACTAACGGGGATCCTCACCACCAGTCAGCTACCAGAGAATGTGACCCATTGCATTTGCATAGAGCCAGAAGGAAAAAGTCTGAAGCACAGGGTAGAAATAAAGGCAGAAGGCTGAAAGGAAGAACAAATATAGAATAAGAACAGCTGAACATTCAGTGGGGAGGGCAGTGAAACAAGGAAGAGAGGAAGGAACGGACAAGGAAGGAAGGACAGACAAGAAGAAGGGATGGAAACACAAAAGGGAGAAAACAAAAGCAGAAAATAACAGAATACATAATAAGATACCAAGACAAAGTAAATGTTCTGAAGATTAATCAGAACAATAAAGTGGCTACAGGGAAAGACAGAGAGGGAAAAAAAAAACAACAAAAAGAGGAAAGCCAGGATAGATAGCAGGGAAAAGTTTCTAATAAAAAAGGACCACATCTGGGCTTTTTAAATGTGCATTTAATCAGCCCTAAGGTTTGGCACAGAATAAATTCTGAAGTAAGATTTTATAAGTGACATCTGTGTTAAAAAGCCTAATTAACTAGTCCACATATTTTAATGTAGCTGTATTTCCTAATTACTAAGGATAATTCAATTTCACTACTCCTTTGAAGACATGTTGTCATTAAATGTGTCTTTTTGCTTCTATTGTTATTGTTGTTGTTGTTATTATTACTATTGCTACTGCTACTGTACCACACCGGAAGTTTCCAGCTTTCTGAAATATTTTTGAGAAACAGAAGTAGCTAAGTAAAAAATGATGAAGAAATCACACTTAGGGCTCAGATTCTGAAAATTAACTGTCCTTTGCCCAGGCAAATGATTTGTCCCATCCCGTTTGGTGTATGCAGCCAGTCAGCACTAGCACACTTCACAATTTGACGCATGGTGATAACACAGTCTGACCACTTAGCTCACAGGGTACTACTGATGGTACAGAAATTTGCTAATGTTTCCTCTCACCTCCACAGTTCAATCAAATTTAAGCTTACTGCCATCCTAGTTTTAAGGATTAATGGTTTCAGCACCTAAGTAGTAGTCTGAGAGAAAATGCTCTGAAGCCCCCTGCAGACTTCAAGGAGCTTCTACCAGACTCATTTTTCCCAACACTTCATACACTTTGTTGTGATGTAAGTAAAAAAAGCTGATTGCTATTTTATTAATACATAAAGGCTAGAAACGTGTCTGATCACCTAGCCTATGGACATATTTTGAAGGATATTAAATTAAAATGAATGGACTTCCACAACACTGCTGCTTTCTGGGCATCTCCAAGGGCTGTCTGCAGAGCAGCTGGACTTTGCACTTTAGGGCTGATTTTCTACAGCAAGACATACACTATGCACACGTGTGGGGTTTTTTTATCCTTTTCTAGAAATGCTGAATAACCAACCCTGTAGCAGCTTGTGAGATGCATAAAAGCATATACCTATGTTCCTCCTAGTTTTCATTTTCCACAGGCACTCTGCTGACAATCCTTGGAGAAAAAAAAAGCAGCCTGAATCAGAAGTAAAACACTCCAAATCCTAAGCCAAACATATAAAAGTCTCTTTCTTCACAGCCTAACTGCTGTCATCTGACGTTTCTGGCAACAGGAGGTTATTTTACCATCAAGAAACTAGAAGCTCTGGTGAGCACGCAATCCAGCGGTTACTTACTGTGAATTCTCCAGTGACAGCATCAAATCCCACATGAATGGTATGTTCAAAGTCGGAAGGAAGAGAGATCTCAGGACGTTCTTTCTCTTTCTTCTTGTTGGCTAGAGGCAAAACATTAACATGCACTTATTTTCTGCCCAGCTTTTCATTCAAAAATTTTCACAATCAAGTGTGCTCAAAATAGTATTTTAAAAGTGGAAAACAAATCAATTAACATCCATCCTACTTGACAAACAGACTCAAGCTAATACAACACCTTAACTGTCAGCTCCTGTTTAGGAAAGTCTAGAAAGTGTTATTTGATTTTGGCTTTCCTCCAATCAGTGTCACAGCTGCCAAAGCAAGCTGTTCATGAAGTAGCCTTCCTAGGCTATCTCTAACCAGCATGATTTCTATTATCAGTTCCTTTTGTATTAAGTTTTCACATCCAGCAACTAAGTCCTGTTCGACTTCACTCTGTGGGCTCCTGCAGAAATAAAGCACCCAGGACACACATGTGCATGCCTCTTTGCGTGTGTGTCTTTTCTCCAACATGCTTTGAACCCGTTGTCAAACTCAGCCAGATTAGAGGTTTTTTTTAAGATAACCAGGTTCCTACAAGTTCTGTGAAAACAGGCAGCTCAGGAAAAGACAAAGATCCTATTCCTGCCTCTCCTCTGAGTAAAAGGCTGAAGCAGCAGCTCTGTATTAGAAACTACAGAATCTGCACAGCAACAAGATCCCATAAATACCACTGGAAGGGCTTCATGTGAGCTCTCAATTAACTAAGACATATAACTATAAACCCCAAGCTTTATTAGTCACCAGGAATCCCTTGTTTTTAAATCACTCCACCAGTATTCACACACAGTGGAGTATCTTATTGAGTGAGACTGACTTTGAAGTCAGCCAATCTGCATGTTTCTCATCTCCTTCCTATTTTAACACCTTTTGAAAGTAACATCCCTTGTGGTCATCCATCTCCTGTGCTTTCTACTCTTGACAAATCTCACTTTAGCCCAGTTTTACTGACCCAAATAAAGAATGCGCGGAATAAAAGCTGAGAGAAGCTGCCTTCACTCCAATGCATCAAGAACCCACGTTCAACAGATTTCTCAAAAAAATCTTGACAATAATGCCAGTTCTGGACAACTCCCAAACACCCAGATAAACATAGCATAAATCCATGTTCAAATATCTAACCTGCTGGCAAGTACCGGAAATATTTGGCTTCCCTGGAGAGCCAGCACGCTCCAAGACTACCTACCACCTGGTTGAATAATGCAGTACAGAGCTATCTGTAGGACCTTCTCTAGTGCCAGTGGTAGAGCTGTAACAGCCGAGAGAGGAACTGCCATTCTGCCAAATACATTGGTCATTTCAGTGGAAAAATTACATGCTAATGATTAGAACAAACACTACAGTGCCCACCTGCAGTATGCAAGAGTTACTAACACAAATTCAGGAAATAAGACACTCAAAGTGCTCATGCAGAATACAATAAAGCCACATGATCTCACATCTTTAAAGAGAGGACTCTGCACCCCACGATCCCACCTCTCCTCTGCTGCCTTTCTTACCACTTCAATGCATGTCTGGTTTACATATTCTCATTGTGGTCCTCAGCAGGTTTGCTCTACAGATGTGATGTGATGTGACTTCACACTAACAGTTATGAAAAATCCAGAGATATACAAGAGGTTATGTTGTGCCTATCACCATGGGACTCTCTACCAGGATCTCTAAATGCCAGCACATCACCATGAGCACATGTGCCATAGTTACACATCAGCAGGAGAGAAAGGAGCAGTTGTTTAGGTTCTGTCTTTGCCTTCCATATTCCTTGAGTGCAGTGCCAGTGACATCCATGCTATGTACATCAAAAACAGGTGGATGAGGACAATTTTGTGTGTGTCCTATTTCAAAAGTAAGTGTCCCCTTCCATCAGTATCAACCAGGATGGAGCTTTGCGAAATCTACTTTCAGGCACGTCAGCCTTCTAACACAAAGCACTACACTCATGGACTTTGAATTAACATTCTCCTGCAGTGTTTTAGTATTATGTTTGCCAGCTTCTTAAGTTTATGGGGGGTCTTGTCCAAAGGCTGAACTCACTATGTATCAGCACCGCTCCCAGCTTGGGTCTGTCCTCCCCACAGATTGTAGCTCCACAAGGCCTCTCTTTGCGTATCTTTCTTATTCTACCTTACAGCTTCCTTTAGTTGGAAGATGCTCTGCTCTTCATAATTATAGTCTAGAGTATTTTGGATGTTTCTAATCTTTTCTCTGCATTTGTGCATGTATCCTCTATTAATTGTCACCTTTTGTCTGTACTGCACACCCCTACACAATATTAATTGATGAATTATTTTCATTTAGCATTCAGTAAAGATGGCAGCAATGTATCAAACACAAAAGCAAAGGTTTTTCCCCTTCTTTTATCTCTAAGACTATGTTGTTTAACTATCGAGACAGATGTTACCACCTACAAGATGTCATCTCCATTCAGCATATATAACTTTTTATTGTTAATAAAAAACCTGACCTCTCCTACCTCATTTGCAAGAACATGCAGTGAAAATTAGATTTAAAGGATCATCAAATTCAGTTCAAAGCAACAGCCAAATCTAGAAGCGAAATAAGGCACCACAAAAAACATTAAGTCAAAAGCAGCACTTGTCCATTCTAGGCCTCTCCTGCTGAAAGCAAGCGTTGCAGCTCATTCCCCAAGATTTGGCTCATCTGCTTCACGGACCTCTGTCTAGCAGACTGTAGATATAACACCTATGGTCCAAATGCTGATAAATTATAAATTAAATATAAAATTAAACATCTCCTTGCAACACCCTCACCCCTCCCCAGTCTAAAAATTTTGTTATGTGTGCTCTGCGACTCAAATCACTTTTTTTTTTACCAAGCTGGCAAAATGATACGAAAAGGCATGACTTCTTTGAAGCAGTGACTGATTGCAGTCAAGGGTTTTATACTGGACATTCCTATTTGATTTTCTTATAAATGCCCCTCACAATGCACTCCTGCTGCACAGCAGTTAGCCATGAGGGCCACCCACACCACCTCAGCAACCATTACAGATTAAAAGAGAACAAGGAAAGAGTGTTCTGTCTTCCACAGTCTGCATCATCATCATCATCATTATGTTAAAAGAGCAGTTGTTTGGCAGAAAAATGTGACTCAGCTAAGTGGCAGTTTTCCTCCAGAGGGAGGAAGGGTTTGACCTCACACTTATACCCTCCTGTTCACTCCCCTCCTCTTCATCTCTTTCTGTTCTTTCCTCCATTCCCTCTCCCTTCCACTGTCACTCACGCTGTCCTCCCATACTTCCTGCTCTGCTCCTCCTGTCTTACTCCAGCAGCCTTGTCCTTTTCTTTCTTCTCCATTAATCTTAACCCTGCTGGGTTTTTCTTCTTCCATCTTTTCTTGTTTTTCTGTACAGGAGGCAACCAGATGACTAAAGGTCAGACTGCTCCCATCCACAGCTAAGTCTAAAGCAGCTTCAATGGAAATGATATTGTGCACACAGTAATCTTAACAAAGATGTACTTCAGCTGAAACGGACATCTGAGCTGTGGTGGGCCTGCTCCTCTCTCATTTCTTTAGGTTGAATGCTCTACAACACCTTCATGGAGCCACCAGTTCACACACAGTATTAATTTATTTCATGGCATAGCAATTGCAGGTGGTTTAATGAAAGAACACAGTTGTATCAAACAACTGGAAGAACACAAGTCATTTCCTTCTGCTCTCAATTCTACTGAGGTAACAGCACACTCCTGAAAGGAAACACTGGTGTTATGAACTCCACTATGGCTGCCATCACAATCATGACCTCCGAGGAAAGCAGACTAATTTCACAGCACGGGCTATGGGGGAATGGGTTCAGCTCCTTGTTCCACTCAGATTGCCCACGTGACACTGGAAATGTATTTCAGTTGTCTGCCTTGGCTTCCTGCCCCCAGGTAATGGGGTACCCTTACCCAAGAGATGGGGTGAGAGGAACTACACCAAGGAACATAAGGAGGTCAGGTGCTATGGGAAGGAGCAGGACACTAATGCTTAAGTGGCTTATTTCAACTGTAGAAGCACAGAGGGGCCTCACAGAGTCATCAGTGTCTTTCTAAAACAAGGTTTTAATCACAGAACTGCTCAAAACCTTACTGAAACCCTTACACTCCAACAGGGGAGTGACTGCAAAGGATTCCTGGTCCCTGAGCACAACAACCCTGGCACACACGGTTGCCTTGGAGAGACAGAATCAGAATCTTCTAGGTTGGAAGGGACCTTAGAGATCATCTTGTCCAACCGTCAACCTAACTGACAAAAATAGACACCCACACAACAAACAAGGAGCAAAAGACCACACCACAGTGTACCCCTCCTCGCATCACTCCTGTCTGATGAGCAAATGAAAGGCAACAAAGTTCTGCAGGTTCAGGCAGAAACACCCTGCCATGGTGTATCCTTCACGTTCTGTTTACTAGCACCAATGGTGAATCATTAATATGAATTTGTGATGCTGCAAAGCATTGCACTAGATGAGAGCAGCCATATTAATCACCTGATTTATAAGCAGGACTCTCAAAAATGTGTCACACTGAGTCCATGAAGCATAGAGAAGCTAGCTGATACCCTGAGCCACAAGCCAACCCTGAGCTGAAACCACCTCAAGGGGGCTTGGCAAGTCAAGCTAAACTTCTTCCATTTATTATTTCACCCAACAAAATTAAGCTATACATCTTAGCTTACTTTCCATCACAGTCACATTTAAAATCATGATACTTGTATGTTTCCTAATATTGCCCTGACCAGTAGTTAATTACATCTATTTTTAATGTTATTGATCATTTTGAGGAGGGGTTGTTTCTCAATCTCCCCATTTCCAGCACCTCCTGCTTAAGAAATGTTCCCTCTAGGAATTAAATAAGCTAGGGGAGATCTTCATTTTAGGCTTTAAAAAGAATCAATTGAAAATTCATTTTGTTCCCAGAAAAGGACACTTTGGGAAGCACTATGCAGGGTGAACCAGCCAAGTTGGCCTGAGGAATGGGCCCATCCAGTCACAGCCTTCACACGAGAGAAGCCATCAGGACTGCCCCGACTGAGGGGAAGAATGGGGCTGAAATTGTGCTTTCTACCACCCAGGAGGAGCTTTGAATGCCAGACTGCCTCCGACTGCTCCACGTGACCTGTGACAAGACTCATGAAAGAGGCAGCCGAGCAGCGCAGGTGAGCTGGAGCTCCAGGGAATGACCACAGTTCCATATATTTGAGCTCTCCTTGGAGGAACAGTAATGCACATTGCATGTGGAATCCCACTGGAAATCCAGCTGGATTTTCTGCTGCTGATCACAACCCTTTAAGCCCAGCATTTCAGTCCATCTCACTGTCCACTTATTTAAACTGTACTTCATCAGCTTGTCTGTGAGAATATGATGGGAAGCTCTATTGGCACCTTACTAAAGTGCAAATAACACCCACTGCTCCCCCTTCCCTACCAAGCCTGTCATCTCATGAACCCTCAGTAGGGTTCAGCATGAATTCCCCTTTGTAAATCCGTGCTGACTATTCCTGATCACATTCTTATCCTTCATTTGTGTGAGAGTAGTTTCCAGGAGGATTTGCTCCACTGGCTTCCCAGGGACCAAGGTGAGGCTGATAGGCCCATAGTCCCCCAGTCCTACTTCTTAAAGGCAGAAGAGACATTTGCTTTTTTCCAGTCATCAGAAGCATCGGCCAGCCATCGTAACCTTTCAAAGATAATGAAAAGTGGCTTTGCAGTGACTTCAGGCAGCTCCCTCAGCACTTGTGGGGGCAGCCCATCAGTTCCCATGGCATTACAAAAAAAAATAAATCATAGAATCTTTCGCTTAATTCTATAAATACACTAACTCAAAACACACTCCTTTCTGCAAATGCATTTCAAATAATGAAACTGAAATACTGTTTCTTGCACGTTTAAAAGACTCTCTTGCTGTAACCACACCTAGCAGGTTTTAAACCAAGCCATTATGTGTATACTCTCACTGCAAAAGTAACAAGCAAGAAGAGCCTTGCTCCTGTTCCTGGAATGCAAGTGCATTAAAAAAAATAAATCCCCAAAAGTGTCAGGCATATTGCCTTCTCACTTCTGCAAATGTATTTCAAAAATACTCAACCTCATCTCTGTTTTTACTGCAAATGCAAAGCAAAATCCAAAGGAAAGGAGTCCCCAGCTTAACTATATTTTTAAAAGGCAAGTCGCACAATGTGTGTGTGTCTTGCTGGCTTTTCAAAGACAAGAAAGGAACTGACTGAACACCTCCTCCTCTGCTGAAACATGTTACTAGAGCAATTGGAACAGAAGGCTTTGGAAGGACTATACCATGTTCTGCAACTGAACCAGAAAGAAAACAGTGGCAGGAAGCAAATACGGCAACCAACAACGAGCAGAAAGCAAGCAGAGACGTAGCCGCCCATTCACACTGCTGATACTTTACTTTTATCCCCTCCTCCTGGGAAGATGGAGCGAAGCCTGGCTTTCTTGTTCTTCTCCTCAGGGGCCATGGGGAGCGGTTTGGAAGTGTGGTTTAGCGCTGAAGAATCGCGATTGTTGCTGTTCATTCTCAACGGTGGGGCTGGAGGTTTCTCTTCAACATCCAGACTATCGGACATCTTCAGCAGCCCTCACAGCCTCCTGCAAAAGCAGAACAGAAAGCACGTCTGTCAAGCAAGGATGCCAAGGCTGGTGTCCCGGGAAGGAAAGAGGGCAAGAAAAGCCTTCTGGTGGAATAAGGAAGCCTCTCTATCCGAGGTTTGCTCTGAATAACATTACTGCTGGTTGCTATAAATAAATGCAGTGCCCAATTACTAAAAATCACTTTATTACCATTAAAATCAAGCTTTTTTTATCCATGTTAAAGCCTTTGAAACTTTTACTTAGAACTTTTTTCTCCCTCTTGTTTACAGTCCAAATTTTCTTCTAAACCCAGACTTCCAAAGCAAAATTGAAATGATTTACTGAAACTACCTAGTATTGTAGTGAACCATTTTTATGATGTAAGAAACAAGGCGCACGTTGCAGGGATACAGACAGCAATGTTAACATCCCTGTTCCCTCCCTGCTCAGTGTTTGGAGAGGGTTTAATCCTGGGAGCGTGGGGCTTCAAAAGGAATGACCTTCCCAAAGGAAATTTATTCAGAGTTACCAATTAAAAACTTTCTTGCACATAAAAACAAGCAATACGTTTGCTTTAAAAATCAATCAAAATCTAAGCAGGAAAATGCCATATCATGAAAACAATCCCAAGTCTTCCTCTTTGTGTCCTGCTCCTACACAGGTCTGTACCACGGGGTTGTTTGTGGCACAGCCCTGAATACCGGCACCAGAAAGTCCCCAGTATGGTACATCAGCAAGGAGTGGACATGTACAGTCTTTTGTTGACTGCTATGAACAGGGGTACTGATCTAAAGAGAAAAAATACCCAGAAATTGTTACAAAACTTCAGTAGATTGGGAAAACATCGAGCAGGTAAGACATTTCAAATTCTTAATCTTTCTAGCGTATCTTAAATATTAAAATTCAAGTCTGGATTAAAGAGCTGGTTTAACAAACAAGCAATGTCTGATAAAATGAACTGTTTTAAAACCTGAAAATAGATTATGATTTCAGACAGATCAGATGTGATGTGGGCTACACTGCACATTTTTAAAGGTTACAATTGTACAGGCACCTCGACTTCCAACCCCTCTGAAATGAATGTGGCTCCTTTTATGGAAGGCACGTGCAGACCACCGCGCGTGTGTTACGGATCTCTCCTTGTGCTGATTCACAGATAACAAAAGTTACTGCACTCATCAGCGACTCTCTTAAATTTAAAATGAAGCAACTTATGTTTTTCAGCTGTGGAAGTCGTAGGGTTTTTTTAAGAAGTATCAGCCAAACATGGTGACTGCCACAAAGAGGCCCAGAAGCTCAGCTGGGAACAGCACCGCTGCTCTCGCTTTGGTCAGGTTGTGCTGCCGTGGCTGAGGGTTTTCGGGGTTGTCTGGCTGGGTTTTTTGGTGTGGTTTTTTTTTTGTTTGTTTGGGTTTTTTGTGGGCTTTTGTTTTGTTTTGAAAACCAAGGTTAAAGTTTCCAACAATTGCATTTATTTTGATATAGCTGGCATTTTGCCAGGATTTCCAGCTGATGTATTAATAGGGGATAATGAAATCTACACTGCCTCAACTGACAATACCTTCCACATAAAAACTAAATGATCAATGGAAACATTTAGAGATGTTCACTCTAGACTGTTTTTCATGACATGGGTATTTTAGCTTTTGTTACCATTCTCAAATTCCCACACATAAAACAATCACGTCTTTTTATTCCTTGACTTACATTTTTAATTTCATCTAAAAGAGATCCCAAAATGCCAGATCTGAGATTCAAAGTATCTTCAAAGCGACAAGAACAATAAACAAAATATACCATCACACCTCAGTTTTGCACTGGTCCTGGGTCCACAAAGCGTGGTTCCTGAACATCTGGGTCCCCAGGGGATCCCAGGGACCCGTCCCAGAGTCACACAGTTGAAACCCTAGCAACAAATGGTCCCAGCCCTCTCCCTAGTACATACAGCACAAAGCAGGGATCCTGGAAATCTTAATTCACAAACATGCACTGAAAGACCTTACTGACCCCAGCTGCTCACCTCCATCAGGGGAACAGTCTGTATGAGCACTTCATCAACTGGCTTGTGTTAAATAAGCAATCTGAGCTATTCTGGCATATTTTGCCTGCAGCAAATTAGAGAGAGCTCAAACAATTGCTCTGCTGGTAGATCAATATGGTGTTCACCAGCCAAAGAGGATGCCTACTCGTAAGCTTAAGCCCTATGTGAGCTGCTAGACCTCTCCTACACCTGGAGTTGCTGATCTCCACCTGTACATACTGTACAGGTAACCCTGAACCACAGCCAGCCACCGGCCAGGCGCAGTTCCCTATAGGGTCTAGAAGGGTGGAAAAGATCTGCAGCCTTAACTACTGAACATCAGGTGTTGGAGGCTGCTGTCAGACAGAAAGATGGTTTTGTCCTTCCCAACAAACCACCTGGGAAAGTAGAGAAGTGGTCCTGCACAGCCAACCGCAGTCCCCGGCATGTGCCCTGTCCCCACAAGAGGGCTCTGCCGACCCAGCCCAGCTGTCCAGGGAGAGATCTGCTGGGAGACCTGCTCTGGCCATGGAGGAACGTGCCCACCCTCCTATGGAAGCCCATGTGTAGCCAATAACCTGCTTTAGATCACCAAGGAATAGCTGTAATTGTGCCCAGACTAGGGCTTGTGCTGATTTCAAGTATGGAGTAGCCTACTTACCTACAGAACTAAATACTTTTGTAGATGTAGGTCAAAGAGTTAATATTATTAATCTTTGTGATTTCTATCCTGAAGCGCAGAAAGTTTTCCAGCAATGGGGGACAGTGATGAAAACTTCTGTGAGGTAACAGGGAGAACTCTACTTGCTGTCTGCGTTATCCTGGCGAAGGGAAAGTGCACGATGCCCGGCTATTGCTGCACAGGGAAACGGGAGGGACTTCCCAGTGAATGAAGCCCAACAGAGACATCTGGACACACTTCTCTGTCCCTCCAGCAATTCTCACGGACTAGGAGCTTATGACAACAGAGGCTTTTATTTTCTCTTTAACCCATCTATAAATACTTCTGCAGTGCCAAAGACAGCCTCCACTCCCGGAGATCACCGGCGTGAGGCTCACCACAGAAGCACCAGGGCAGGTTTTCAGCTTGTTATCAGAAGCAAGACGGTTATCCTGTGAAGTCCATTACAGGGCACACAGTTTCAGCTGTCCCTCAGAAAGGGACAACTGTATCTGTCACTGTATTTATTTGTAAACAATGCCAGTTTGCTGAAATAGGTCCTCCCATGGGATTTCATTCCACAAAGACTACTATTAACGGTTTCTGGCCCAATTTGCCTATGATGTAATTATTTCCAAGATTTTGAAAAGAACACTATATTTTGTTCAGAGCTGTTTCAGGCTCAGTTTCAAGAACTGTACAAAGCTCTTTTATTCACTTCTAAACCAGGAAACGAAAAAAAAAAGGAGGGGGGGGAGATAGCCTAAAAGGTTTAACGGTTGATATTAACTTTCTAAAGCTGGTCTAAATGAAAACTAAAGCAAACCACAAGGCACTACACACCAAGAGACTTACAATTTATGGTTTTCCTGATCAGAGCCCATCTGCTCTTCCATTCATTCTAATTTTGAGAGTTTCCATGTACTGCTGCACCACGACAAAATAACATTCACTACCACATAAAACTTCAGATTTTAAGTGTTTTGTACTGATTCACTCAGACCTTAACTTGGGGAAAACCTGTAAAGAATAGAGGGCCAACAAGACATATTCAGCTCAGAAACTTCTCAGATTTACATTGCAGAGAACTGTCAACAGCATGACAGCCCAGGCTCAACTCTACCCTGGAGCCAGTTTTTCCTGACATAGGAACAAGTCCTTGGTCCTGCTAGTCTTGCTCTGCATAGGATGGCCTCATCCAAAATCACCTTCTGACTATTGGAAATGATTATATCATATGCACATAGTCAAACAGTCAAATTTTAGTGTTCTCTCTCTTTTTCCTTTTTAGAGTTCATTGCTCTGTTTTTGGTCTGTTCAGGTTTTTTTGGTGTTTTTTTTTCTTTTAATAAAAGGATGTTGATAAGATTGGAAGGTCAAAAGACTGAATGCTGGAAACACTTCTTTACCAAGGGGGTGGTGAAACACTAACAAGCTTCTTGGAAAGGTGGTGGATGCCCAAAGCCTGTCAATGTTTAAAAGGCATTTGGACAATGCCCTTAAAAACAAGCTTTAACTTTTGGTTGGTCCTGAATTGGTCAGGCAGTTGGACTAGATGCTTGTTGGCACTAACTCAAAACACACTCCTTTCTGCAAATGCATTTCAAATAATGAAACTGAAATACTGTTTCTTGCACGTTTAAAAGACTCTCTTGCTGTAACCACACCTAGCAGGTTTTAAACCAAGCCATTATGTGTATACTCTCACTGCAAAAGTAACAAGCAAGAAGAGCCTTGCTCCTGTTCCTGGAATGCAAGTGCATTAAAAAAAATAAATCCCCAAAAGTGTCAGGCATATTGCCTTCTCACTTCTGCAAATGTATTTCAAAAATACTCAACCTCATCTCTGTTTTTACTGCAAATGCAAAGCAAAATCCAAAGGAAAGGAGTCCCCAGCTTAACTATATTTTTAAAAGGCAAGTCGCACAATGTGTGTGTGTCTTGCTGGCTTTTCAAAGACAAGAAAGGAACTGACTGAACACCTCCTCCTCTGCTGAAACATGTTACTAGAGCAATTGGAACAGAAGGCTTTGGAAGGACTATACCATGTTCTGCAACTGAACCAGAAAGAAAACAGTGGCAGGAAGCAAATACGGCAACCAACAACGAGCAGAAAGCAAGCAGAGACGTAGCCGCCCATTCACACTGCTGATACTTTACTTTTATCCCCTCCTCCTGGGAAGATGGAGCGAAGCCTGGCTTTCTTGTTCTTCTCCTCAGGGGCCATGGGGAGCGGTTTGGAAGTGTGGTTTAGCGCTGAAGAATCGCGATTGTTGCTGTTCATTCTCAACGGTGGGGCTGGAGGTTTCTCTTCAACATCCAGACTATCGGACATC